ATGTCAAGCTGTCATAACAAAGACATCTGAAACAATGTGGACTTTGCATTAAAGGTGACATAACTGACTGAATGACACTTAGGGCTGAAAGGAAAGGTCAATGTTAAAAGGACAAACAGCACAGTTAGTTAACTAAGTGAACTAAACTTGTAGGAGCCATTTTCTAGTTATTTGTTATTTGCATTTGTTTTTTGTTTTGTTTGTAAACACCAGGGGGCAGCACTTGGGTTGAGGGGAACTATTTAAATGTTGCAGCTATGTGTCACTGGGGTCAATGAATGAAATGCAGCATGAAATGTTTGTTTGAATTAAAATGAAGAAACAGTGATTCCTGACTGGACATTGCAATTATTGCCTGCGTACGATCTCACTTGATTGGTGCATCAGTGGCCATTTGTTAAGTTAATACAGTTTATTTGTAAATTTATCTTAATTTGTTTTTTTGTTTTTTCATGACAGATAGCCACCACAAAACTGAAACTGAAAACTCAAAGTTCAAAATGTAGCCTCTCTGACTCTGGTTCTTTCTGTCATCTCTCCTCCACAGTGAGCTCGGAGGTCGGCCGTGCGGTCTGGCTCCGCTTCTCACCGCCCCTGCCCTCCTCGGGGCCCCAGCCCAGCTTCATGGCTCACCTGTCGGGAGCCGTGGTCGGTATCAGCATGGGGCTGCTGATCCTGCGCAGCTACGAGGAAAGCCTGCAGAAGCAATGCTCCTGGTGGGTCATTGTCTTCTCCTTCATCACCTTCCTCCTCTTTGCCATCTTCTGGAACATCTTTGCATATGAGCTGCTGGGGGTGCAGATACCTCCTCCTCCCTGATGAAGGCCCCCTCCCCCCTCCTCCCTCCTCCTCTTCCTCCGCCCCTGCAGGCTCTCCTCCACATACACACTCCAGACTCCAACCCTGCTCCAAACAACGGTTTCCCTTTGACCATAGTCAACATCACAAGTTAGTCCCAAATGAAATGATATGAAGTCGTTGAAAACTAGAAATCGACCAAGAATCCTTTTTTACAGATACTTTGCAAATCAAAGAAATACGTCTCTTTTATTAAAGAGGGATTACCGTAGCAACAAGTACAGGTGAACGTTCCTCAGATCACATTTTGAGGAGCATTATATCTTTTGTATATGTACATTCAAATCATCTACATTACCAGCACTTAACTTTCAGTCAGCATTTAGCAATTGTGCTCTTTCTTTTCAGAGGTTCTTTTTCTAAAGCATTAGTTGCGTCATTGAATGCATCTTTCGTACATGTAAAGAAGTTTAACTCCACTGGGATGGGAGGGAGTGTGTCCTGCATCGGTTACAACAATGCAGAAATGCTATTGATGAAGGTGATCAGGATGCCCCTCAAATGAACAGGGCTTCAGTGTTATTCTCAAAGGCACTTGTGTAGGGTAGACCAAGCCCAAAAAATTTGAGCTGCAGGAGAAAAAAATCAGCAAGAGCATGTTTACTTTATGGAGGCAGCAATAAGAAAACACACACACAAGTACTGAGTTTTTTTTTGCAGGATTGTTCACAAACTAATTGAAAAGCAAAAACAAGAACAGCTTACAGAATGTTTTCCTCAAATTGAGCTCCTTAGTAAGAAAATAAAACGTCAAATTATTTTACCCAGAATGCAAATGGAATAAGAAACCCAAATCTCTTGAAAAAAAAAAAAAAAGAATTGATGAAAAAGGTTTTAAAGGAAAGTCTCCAGGCTGTTTGTGGATCCTCATCATCTTTTAGTTAGCTGTCACTTTCACTTCACAAATAAGACAACATCAGCTTCCTTTAATTATCTCCGTGACATTTAACCTACACTGTGGAAAGAGAAACAAAACTCAGACATCATGGACGAGATGGGAAACAAATGTGACACAAGAGGGGGGAAAGTACCAGCTTGAAGTTTCCTGGACGGTCATTCCTCGAGCGAGTGAGTTCCTCCTGTTGCTGTGTCAAACGCTCACAACTGACTTTGCTAGGTGCACCATTGTAAATTATGCCATGTCATGGCTCTGTGGCTCTCAGCGAGACAAGGACACACACACACACACACACACACACACACACACACACACACACACACACACACACTGGCCTCTGCCTGTTCTCGCTGTGACGGACTGAACTGGGGAGGACGCGGATGTGTCATCACTTGACCTCTGACCTTCGTGTCCCAGAGGGCATTGGGGGCCTCTCTTGGGCCCGGTCTATACCTCAGCTTCTCATCTTAGGGACTGTATACTTTTGTAAAGGAATGTACCTATAAAGAAAAAAAAAAGCAGAAGAGTGTTATTAAGTTGTCCCCGTTTTTCATTTGATAGTGGATGTGTATATTGTATGTTCATAACCAAGAGTCTATTTATTTGTATGTTTTCCTCTCTGAAGGGGAAAACAACAGAAAATTTCAAATGGTGCAAAATTTATGCTATGATTGTTCTTCTGATAATAACTCTTGTATGGCTTTGATCCTCTAAAAAAAACACTCTATAGCCATTTTCACACATGCACTCCTGAATATTTCTTCACAATTTCACACAGCTTGCACGCCTGAAATCTTCCTCAGTTTCTTGATGACACATGACCTCAGCTTTCCCTGTTGGGGGGGGGGGGGGTGAAGATCAAAACGATCACACACCGGTCGTAGGATTTAAACGTGATCGCCTCCTCCCACTTGCTCACAGTAATTTTTTTCTAAAATATTTCCTCCTGTATTCACACACCTTAACTTCCTGTGGAAATTTGACCAGGGGGCTGGCAGGAAAAAGTCCGGATAAAGAGGAGATGAAAAATTCAGCTGCTCATGTTCACACTTGCAGCTCACCCAAAAAAACACTTTGTGAAGATTTCAGGAGTTTCTTGTATGTGTGAATACGGCTTATTAGGCAGAATCTTAACCACCGACGACTCGAGCTCTTCTGATTTTATAAATCTTTAGTGCTTTACAGAACAAGCCATAGAAAGAACTATTTGAGTGGGTAAAGGAAGATTAAAAAAGATGCAGTGGTTTTGAAGCCTTCTGGTTGGCAGTGAAGCTTTCTTTTTGTGTGTGATTAAATATGATTTTGTTTATTGTGAATATACCACAGCGGAGGTAAAAGGAGACAAACTGTGTGAGTACAAGCCTGTGAAGCTCTGGACCGTTTCAGATATTTTCATGTAGCTCATTTTAAACAATTTTTACCCTTAATTTGTTTCTAATAGATGCAGATTATTATTATTTTTGTAGCTACTGCCCACATCTCCTCTGTACCCCCCTGCAGTGTGCAGAAACCCCGCTGAAGTTATTCTTCTGCAAATAACAAATTCAGACACGGATTCTGTCGAACATCATAACCTCCAGAGTGACTCAAGCTTTTGGAAAGCTGAGGCGAGGATAGCAATTACATTTCCTCATACTATGTTCCATTTTTCAGACTTTCAATCAATAATTCATCCGAAATGTCCGCTGGCTGCCTGGGGGGGAAAACATTTTATGCATTTGCCAATTTCGATAGTTGGCTATAAATACAGTCCTCAGCGTTTGCTCCGTCGTGAAACTGTCAGAAATAACAGAAGACTGGATGTTAAATGAGGGAATCTGTAGGAAATAGCCAGAATGAGCCATTTCTGATGCATTAAAAGAGAAAAGATCAGCCAATATGTGGAAGTAATGGATCCTTGATAGAAACTCTTGTGTGCACTTGGAAATATTATTGCTTGAAATGGCAGAGATACATTAATGAATAATGCAAACATACCCTGTTAGCCTATAATGGAGATAAAGGGGAAGTCTGAGAGGAGGTTAATGTGCCTCCTTAACTTAAGATTCATAGGAACCCAGTAGGGTTGTAAAAAGGGCTAGTAAACTATGTTTCTGTAGAACACATTAACTGTGAATATTAGCCCACTTGGAAGTACATGCAGGACAAAACTCGAAAGCTTGTGAATTCCTGTCGCCCCTAAAACTTGAATAGATACTGGACTGAGTTCTCCTCATGCAAAGTGTTCGATGTAGTTATTTGTTCCACGTTCTTCTAACAAAGCATTAGCGTTAAAAAAAAATAGAGAAGTGTATCCTCAACAACCAAGTGGTTTCAAGGAATGTTTTCTGTGTGCCAAATCTCCTCTGGGCCCTGAACCTGAGCCAACATCAGCACCCAAAACACCTTCCAGAAAAGTCCTCAGCACAGCACCTATAGCCAGCCAAAGGAGAGGATAGTCCAGACTTACATCCTAAGGCAGATATCATACGACAGTCTGGGTGTTTGTGAAGTAGAGACGACACAATCAAAAGAGCTGGCACAACACCCCTCAGCGGGGCTTTAAAGCAGCGAGTGGCCATGCTTTTTTATCCTGCCGGGCTTATGTCACAACAGCCCAGTGTCAGGATGATGCATGTCTGTTAGTGAGGATACACCAGTGCCCAAAGCTACACAGGACATCTTCCTTTAATAAGTTGAACTGACAGGCTGAATTATGCTGATTTAATTGCAGTCTTTGAGTGACACATTTCTTGAACAGTGCAAGAAAGTCACAGTGAAGGTTAGTGCTCACTCATACTTGAGCCCTTGTTGCTGTTAAAGCACCCTATATATATATATATATATATATATATATATATTTTCAAAAAGGCAGCAGGAGTTTCTAGAAGCTACTTGAAATTGTTCCTGGTCTTTTTCTTTTCTTCTTTTGCTCTTACATATCGATGTGCCATATTCTCTACTGCCATAAACATAGTTTAATGCTTTCTACCTTCCTATGTGAATCAGTTGTGCTGTAAAGCCCAATGCCTTGTTCTATATAAGCCCAAGACTGAACACCGGGCAGAGAGGCTGCTTTTCTTTTAGCTGTTTATTAAACTATTTCACGTTATCATGAAGCGATTGCAGAAGAGAAAACGCAGCAGTGCAAAGAACAGGATCTGCTGCAAGCCAACAAACCCGGCCAGGTTGCCTTTTTTAAAAGTGTTTATTGCTACTTTGTCACGGCACGACCTCGCAGGTCATGGAGAGTAATGTAGCTGAAAAGATGGAACATTGATTGAACGCTCACCATTGCATAACTCTGTGCTCCTAGTGTGTTACTGAAGTCATTGAAATGTTCTAGGGCTCTAAAAGTGCAACAAACTGGCTTAACGTTCCAATAAAAGTCAAGAAATATAAACTAAGATTCTGTGAATCCGACTGGAATAATTATCATAGTTCACTTGAATATGAATCCAAGCGTTATGCTAAGAGAACAGTGGATTTAAACCTTTAAATGAAATAGGATTCTGCACATTCTGATTATATGATGAGTTCAGGAACACTCTTTTCTGTCCAGCGTAGTGAGAAAGGAGCATAAAGAGTATTCTTTCGGGCAGTATTAAGCATTTATCTCTGATGATGAGGGTGTTTTCTGCTTTATTGACTTCAATATTTGCTGAAGTCTGAGTTTCCACTTTTAGTGCAGATTCTTTTCATGTCCATAAAAACTGCCTGAGCTACTGAAGATCATGCAAATGTCACATCATTTCCCTCTGATGCTTTAGAATACAAACAAAAAGAAAAGAGTCATATCTGTTCTGCTGTGGTAGTTTTTCCTGAGCTGCTTACTCGTATCGATTAAATGGTGCCAAGCTATCGAGGTTCAATCTCTCCGGCCGGACAAGAGGTTGTACCAACACAGCGTTTACAAAAAGAAAAAGCAGAAGAAGCTATTTTTCTCTCATGAGGAATCTAAACTAAATTTACATAGGGATAATTTATAACAAAGTCCTCATTAATTATTTCACACTCTATTGTACTTTTTAAATGTTCTGAATGGAACCATTTTATATTGTATATATATGAATATATTTTGTTTTATTTTGTACTGTTCGTTGTACTTTGCTTTGATTTAGAAACGATATAAATAAAGAACAATACTGTGGCAACTTACTACTGCTGTTTCTCAATGTTTAAACACCAAATCATTTTTACTATTCAGCTTCAAAACTCATCAATATTTTGAATAATTTTAAGAAAAGTTCACTGGTTTCAATCTTTTGAAAATTAAATACTCTGATTTTTTTGTTCTATAAGAAAATGTTAGCTGAATAACTTTGGATTATTGGTCAGTCATTTAGTGAAGCTGCATGACATCAGACTTGATGAAAAATAGTTTCATAAAATCATTTCACTGCCGTTGAATTAAACTGAGCATAAAAAAAGTACACATCACCCATTGGTTTTATTCAGTTCATTTATTAATTCCACAAAAACATGATTAAACACTGAACGTTCTTCATTTGATGTAAAGGCTTTATTATTTTATAAAAACACAAAAAGAAAACATTTATTCACGTTTAATGTGAAAACAAAAGTGATTTTTTATCTTGTTTTGAGCTTCTTTGCTGGTCTCTGGTCAGCATCTGAACACTCGTCTGCCACACTGCTGGTCTTCACATCGACGTCCTTCAGAAGTGGAAGCCTTTGCTGCTCGGCGATGGTCATGGCCCACAAACACAGCTCCAGCCTGTGGGGCGTCCACTCCTGCAGGGGATCCACTGAGGAGGAGAGAACATTTTTTTTTGTACATTGTGTTTTATATTTTACATTTTTAAATTCTATTCTATATATTATAATATCTTCTTATACTGTATTATTTAAGTTGTTGCTAGTTCTGCTTTATTTCCTTGTTAATTGTTTAGCACCAATACACCAAGTCAAATTCCTTGTATGTGTAAATGTACTTGGCAATAAACCTGATTCTGATTCTGAGAAGCAATGAGCCAGTACTCTTTATTTGTCTTTTTATTACACTGATTAAAATAAAAACACTTGAATGTCAAGGTGAAAATTATCTAAATGAATTACACCAAAACAACTTGAAATCTTTCACTTTTAATAGCTGAAACAACCAGCTTTTTTCGATTTATTATTTTGACCTTAGAGACAAAAAGGTAAGCCTGTCCCAGACTTCCTCAGTACCCTGCATGGTGCATACCCATTGTGCCCTTGGTCATAACCTCACCTTTGTTTAGCTTTTCAGTCCGCTCCACCATTTTGCCCAGGTAGAGAGCGTAGTGTTTGGCTGTGTACTGGATGGGCTTTAGTCCTGGCACACTCTCCATGGCCTCATCAGACATGAATGCAGTTTGTTCTGGAGCTCCTGCAGCCAATACAGCTGGAACAAAACATACCATCAGCCCCGAATATAAGTATGAAGTGAGTACAAACTATTCAAACAGAGGGCAGGGAGTCTGACAGTGTAAGTACCACTCAGTGCACATACTGAGAAGGCAATCACTTTGGACTCTAGGAGGATAACAGGGATGTTTTAACAGTATGAACTCTAAGGCTTTTATCTATTTGCTGAAAGACACAGAAAAGAGACCCTGTGCTTACCAGAAGCGGTGGCTGGGCCGACTCCTTTCAAGGTGCTGAGCTCTGAGATTGATGCCTGCACGTCAGGAAGAAGGCTGAAGGCCTTTCTGGAACATTTCTCCACAGTGTCCACGCTGTTAGAAGCTACCAGCTGCTGCAGCCGTGGCCTGAATTTTCCTCTCTGCAGAGAAGAAGCACACAGGGCCACTCAAGGACATAGCTGATTTCTGTGTGACTGAAATGTGTCAACATGTTTTTGTGTGGGTGCGTTAAGAGATTCTTGAAGTTAATATGATCTAGAAACCTACAGTCAGCTTCCACTCCATAAGTTTCACCAGTTCTGTCTGAGTGACATGTTTTTCAGGCCTACTTGATATGAGTGTTGGCAGCTCCTCTTGATACCTGAACACAGACGCAAACACACATGGCTCAGTTTAATCTAATACTTTACTCATGGCACTGTCAACTAAACTAGAGTCCTATACAACATGACATAAATGGAAAACTACACATGGAGATGTTCAATGTGAATGTGAAAGAGAAGTACTTTAAAAAAGTAATTAAATCGTACAGCTACTCTGCTGACATGTAAACAAAACTATTTCCATGACAACTGAGCAAACCCTCTCTCATGATGAGACAAAGTCTGAAAAAACAAACAAGTGTGACTTTGTATGGGATTATTTAATTTAAATACCACCTCAAACGCAAATAACTTTGATGCTTGAATCCAAAGAAATGTGAATGACTCATAATTAAAATCTATTCTATTATCCACTGGACCCCAGCTGGTTAAAATGTGTTACTACACGTTGTTAATTGTGACAGCTGTCACTCGAACAGACAGTTAACATTGCAGTGAGGAGAAACAGATTTACCACTTGTCAAGGCTCAGCAGCTTTCCAGGTTTCTTGCCTTTCGTCTTGGCTTCCACTACATCCCAGTATTTGTCATACACAGTCCTCCACGTGGATGGATCCTCACAGACAAACAGAGTGCTCATGGTAAACAGAGATCTCACACCATCAGATACAAACACTGAATGAAAGATGTCAGTTTGTAAAGACTCTACTCTTCAGGGACTGTCTGCTAAATTACGACATTTAACGTATTAACTTGTTCAACTAAGGCCCCGCTAACTTTCGTTTTTAAGCCACCTTCTTGTTCCTGAAGTCACCCTAAACAAAACAAAACAATTAAGTGGCTTATAAAGTTCAATAAAATCCTAAATGATTGGATGGTGTTCTGTGACGACGCTTCCGTTTTCATCCCGCTGCATTCTCGCGAGGTTTCAAAACAAAATAGTACTTCCTTTACCACTAGCAGTGAGCAACAGTTTCACAAGGTTTGTCCCCGTAAGTTCTTTGTTATTAACACTGCTTGAACACCGTTACCCAATATAACCTATTTATTTTTTCCACATTTCTCTAAACGTGTGACTTCAGTGTTTAATTTGCTTCGTGACTGTTCTGCTTTTGCAGAAGTTCTCAGTAGCTACGTTAGCCGGCAAGCAGTAGCATCACATTCCTGTCATGTTTATGATTTGAGTTCACTGTACAATAAGTTCAGCTGTTTACAACCAAAACATGAGCAGGTAAAAGAACACTTTGAAGAAGCTACGGACAGTTCAAATATAACACAATTTAAACGAACCGAATAAAAACATGCTAGTGAAGGTATAGGCAGAGGGATGTGCTATTTGAAGTGCTTATGAAAAGTGCACACACAGAAGAAGCTCCCTCACATTGTCGGATTTTCACGTGAGCACGAGGTGGAGGTGTAATAAATACGGAAAGTGGTAAAGCCCATTATTCAGGTAAACAAACAGAATGATGCTTTTTTGATACAACCTTGAAAACGAGAAGATAAAAATACAAATGAAGAAGTGAATTCTGATATCATTTCTATTGCAGCCACATATCGTTTATTGTAACATGATACTTTATTGAGTTATTTCTCAAGTTTAAAGATCATTTGGCATATTTGTATGGACCCCCGGTTAAAGTAAAAAAAAGATTATCGACTTTGATGATTATCAATCTCTCTATAAAACAAGTGTACACAAAATATATCTTTTTTGTATTTAGCACACATGCTTTTCTTTCACATGTAAGTTGGTTCTCATGGGAGCTCATGAAGAGGACTCTGCGCTGCTACCAACATTAACAAAGACGGCAGTTCTGCAACAAGTGAGTGATGCAGCCATTTCATTGTATCATGTTAAAACAGATGAAACACTGTTTTAATTATTCTGTTATACACACTGCCACCTCTGCTGCTCCCCTGCACCAAGTGCTATATCAATCTTTAATCTTGTTTGCTTTACTGCCACCATCTGGTGGATTGTTGAACAGCTAGAATAACATAATGAACACTGAGCAGTGCTGTAATAGTAAAATATATTTGGAGTTTACCTGATGAATCTTGTCCCTTGAACTCAGGTAAATCACTGCTGTCTGTACCAGAAACATGGAGAAGATGTCACGGGTTACCACAGCCCTCAGCAGCAGTACAGTCACTGGTCGGACTATGTTCTGCCACTTGGACGCGCCTGCAAACGCCATCAGTGTGTGCCGTGATGCAACCCAGGTGGTGGTGGCTGGCCGAAACATTTTCAAGATCTACACTCTAGAGGAGGAGCAGTTTGTTGAGAAGCTTAATCTCCGAGTCGGCCGCAAGCCGTCTCTCAACTTCAGCTGTGCAGATGTAATGTGGCATCAGATGGAAGAGAACCTGCTGGCCACAGCTGCCACCAATGGGGCAGTGGTCACCTGGAACCTGGGAAAACCCTCTCGTAACAAGCAGGACCAACTGTTTACTGAACACAAACGCACTGTCAACAAGGTGTGCTTCCACCCCACAGAGGTATACATGCTGCTCAGTGGCTCACAGGACGGCTTCATGAAGTGCTTTGACCTGCGCAAGAAGGAGTCTGTCAGCACATTCTCAGGTAGGACATCATGTGATGATCATCAGTGTTTTTCAATTAAATTCATAAAAGTGAAATGCAACTTCCAGTTGTTTTCCATGATGTCTTCTTAATTTGATTTTGTTTTTGTGGTGAAGGAAAATCTTTAAAATTATTCTGTCTAGCTATGCAAATAAATGCAAACATTTATTCTACATATTTCCACTGGATTTGAGAATTGTATCTTAAACCATTTCACCCTGCAGTTATATATGAAATACTAATGGGTTGGATCAAAAGTGATTTTTTTTTAAAAACTTATTATTATATTAGGAAACAAACTGTATCTGTGATTCTCATCACTTTATTGTTTCCCATTCTCTCGTCTTTAGGTCAGTCAGAGAGTGTAAGGGACGTCCAGTTCAGCATGAAGGATTATTTCACATTTGCTGCTTCCTTTGAGAATGGCAACGTCCAGCTGTGGGACATCAGGCGGCCGGACCGCTACGAGCGAATGTTCACCGCCCACACCGGTCCTGTGTTCTGCTGCGACTGGCACCCTGACGACAGGTAAAGAGAGGGGGACTCTGTGACACTAACTAATTCAACATTGGATGTTTCTTTCTAAACACAAACCCTGTCTACATAACATTTCCCTTTTAGGGGCTGGCTGGCCACTGGTGGACGTGACAAGATGGTGAAAGTGTGGGACATGACCACAAACCGAGCCAAAGAGGTTTATTGTGTTCAGACGATCGCCTCGGTGGCTCGGGTCAAGTGGCGGCCTGAGAGGAAGTTTCATTTAGCGACCTGCTCCATGATGGTGGATCACAACATCTACGTGTGGGACGTCCGCAGACCTTTTATTCCCTTTGCCACCTTCGAGGAACACAAAGATGTGACCACTGGAATCGTATGGCGCCACCAGCACGACCCTCACTTCCTGCTGTCTGGCTCTAAAGACAGCACACTCTACCAACACATGTTCAAGGACGCCACTCGTCCCGTGGACAAGGCCAACCCCGAGGGTCTGTGCTTTGGACTTTTCGGTGACTTGGCCTTCGCTGCCAAGGAGAGTCTGATCAGCAGTGATGCCAACAAGAAGCCGTACCCTGTAGGCGACCGCCGCTACCCCATCTTTTTCTTCAAGAAACCGGACCCGACGGAGCAGTTTGCCCACGTGTCCAGCGCGCTCAGCGTCTTCGAGACAGACCTAGACAGTAATCGCATGGACTGGTTTGTCAAGACGGCACAACTCTACCTCCTCAGCGGGAAGCCGTTTGCTGAGCTGTGTGATCACAACGCCAAGGTGGCCCGGGAGCTCAAAAGACCTCAGGTTTGATTAATCAATACAGGCATACATTTATTATTTCTAATTGTTTATTAACAGGAAGTCCCATTGAGATTAAACATCTCTTTTATTAGAGAAATCTGGACATAGCAGCACACACAAAATCATAAAGTATTAAATACCACATGAAAAGGGATTGGCCCAGGGCAAGACGCAATTGTTTGATTATGAACTAATCTACTGATTGCTTCCTTACTTAAGTGTTTGATATAAAAAGGTCCATTAATCATAAAACATGCCTGTTACCACTGCAAGAAACCAATGATATCATAAAAAAAGTCTTGTCTGTCCTGAACACAACGATACAAAGTATCGCCTTAGATAAAAGAGAAAATCTGAAAATGTGATTTTACTGAAGCTGGAATGCAAATTTCTGCTATTTTAACCGTAACCATGTACACATATCTGTGTACTACTGAGCATTAACATGTGTTTCATGGAGCGGAGGATATGATGACTAGTTGCCTATAAGTATTGTAATGGTGCAAAAAATCTAACTTCAGAGGCATGTTATCAATAGTCTTTATTGGAATGTAAATGTACATAGAGGCATGAAAATGAAATTGGAGTAATGAGGATATTTTTTAAATGTAAGGAGTAGAAAGTACAGATAATTGTGTCAAAATGTAAGAAGTAGAAGTAAAAAAAGTCAGCTGGAAAATAATTACTCCAGTAATGTATAGATACCCAAAATTTCTACTTAAGTAAGGTTACGAAGTATTTGTACTTTGTTACTTGACACCTCTGTTTATTTTCATGTATAAAGTCATGGACTTGAATATTACCCCACCTGTCATGAGAAATAATGCATGGTTGAATGTTCTTGGTTCATATTTATTTATTGTTGAGTCATCGAGCAACATAAGACTCTTGGGTGTTTGCAGTATGATACAAAGGTAAGCGTTATGAGCTTAAACCTTAAAGGATATTTGACCTCCTGTAAGATCTGTTGTTGTAACACGCTCCACTCTAAAGTGAGCGTAAACCTTGTAGCACATGACTTCCAGGACACATGCGTCACATAGTAGTTTTTTTTGTCATGAAACAAATGAGATGTCTTTTTTTTTCACAATACAAAGGTTTCCACAACATGGAGCATGCTGAGAATCATGTTCTCTGACCCTGCAAACCTCTCAACACCCGGTCCAAACCTCAGTAAACTTGGCACATTGCCTTTAATGAACAGGTAAAAATTAGCATTTTATTATTCCATTAAAAACTAGCGCCGCTGATCATTTACAGGCTAATGCTCATGTAGTTGTGCTCTCAGTTTCAGCATGAAGGAGATGGTTTCAGGGGTCGGCACAGAGAGCAGACTGGAGCGCAGTAAAGGTGAGAGCAGACAGGACAACATCCACCTGGAGCCCGGGAACGCTCACATCAGCAATAATAATGAAGGTGAGAGTGCACATTAAAACTCTGAGATGTCAGCGGGGTTTGTCCGTTTTTTTCTTTTGGATATTTTCTAAGCCATTCGTTTATTTTCCTGTCAGAAAATGAGGAGACAGAAGGCAGCGAGGGCCAGGCTGAGTACATGTTCGGTGATGCCGAGTTAGATGACGACGACCTTTACTCTATGGAGCAGGAAAACCAAGCAGGTCAGTCACCGTCTCTGAGGAATCTGAAAAGTTGCTCACACCAGTTTTTGCTATTTATAACTGCCTCCATACTCAGCGCTCTTTGTCTAATTTTACCCCGCTCCTTTTGTCATAGCAGAGGAGCAGGAGTACACGCTGCCCCAGGAGGCCTTCCAGCTGCGCCATGAGATCATGGATAACCCGTCCGCTCCGGAGCACCTCCAGCAGGACAAGGCAGACTCCCCGCATGTCAGCGGCAACGAGGCCGAGGTCACATGCCTGACACCCATTGAATCCTTCTCTCTCATCTCCATCTCCCAGCCGCTGTTCAGCCCACACCTACCGGCCAGCTTCTTCTGTCCCATTGTGAGGGAGATGCTGAGCTACTATGCAGAGCAGGGAGACGTGCAAATGGCCGTGTCCGTGCTCATTGTGTTGGGGGACCGGATCCGTAAAGAGATCGACGATCTCACACAGGTCAGATAACAATAAAAACACACACAGTTGAAACCTCTCCAGGTTATTAATTGATTTAGAAACTTTGGTTCTTCAAGTAAAGAAACAGCCTACAGTATATTGTGCAAAAAAATGACCTGTTGACCTTGTGTTCAACTTGAAATAAACTCAAATCACTGCAGGTTCTTAGTTCATTTTCTTTCCATTTCAGGAGCACTGGTACATGTCTTACATCGACCTGCTGCAACGATTTGAGCTCTGGAATGTGTCCAACGAGGTCATCAAGCTGAGTACGTGCAGCGCCATCACCGGCCTGAACCAGACTTCTACAACGCTGCACGTCAACTGCAGCAACTGCAAGAGACCAATGAGCAACAAGGGCTGGATCTGTGACAGGTATGAACCGCTTCATCGTCATTTAATAAATAAAAAAAATTAAAACTCTTTCGTGGTTGTAAACTTAAAAGGGGGTCCATGGCTTGTTTGCAAGTACAATTTCAAGCAAACTGAGGTTTTCTTTTACCTCAACACCCCAAAACTTTTAAAATCTAATGACGATAAAGGGATTAAAGGCTTTATATGTGATTTTTTGATCTAGTAGATGTCGCCCTTGAGCACTAGCATGAAACCAAAACAACTTGCGCTGCATTGTTGTGTTAGCATGCTAATGCTAGCAATCTTTATTATGCTGGTATCTTCACACTTAATGTAAATTTACCTGAAATGAGCGTGATCTAGAAACACAGTTAAGCAGTGAGTACAGTATGTTATTCTTCTTTTCTCTAGTCCCTCAATTAAACAACTTTTATACATGAGGGGAGGAGTCAGCCGGCCGTCCTGGCGATGTAAACAAACTGAAGATAGGACTCTGAAAACATCACAGACAGTGGGACTCGGGTGTTACACCCATTGTAGACAGTCATGACTCACAGAGTTATTTTCAGAGGATATACTTGATTTATATTACATTTAAGTGAAAAATCACTTATAAAGCCTTTAAAAGGGGGTCCATGGCTTGTTTGCAAGTACAATTTCAAGCAAACTGAGGTTTTCTTTTACCTCAAGAAAGTATTTTTTTTTTACTTTTCTCCACCCCCCAAAACTTTTAAAATCTTATGACAATAAAGAGATTAAGATCCTTCTTACCTTTTTTCTTTTACACAAAGTTTAAATCTACTGCGAGCAGTTTGTTAACTTGTACAGACAGGAACAAAAAACAGCTCGACCTCTCGGTTCAAAAGAGAAGCAAATCCACCAAACAGATCCACTAATTTCCTGATTAACAAAGAAACATTTTTACTTAGTTTGTTCAAAATCTGCAGTGTAGAAACTACCAATCAGAGGCAGTGGGTTCCTGAATATTCCTTGGTAGTGTCCAGTAAAACACCTTATATGTCTTTATTGCAACCTGCAACCTAAAACTAAACTAAAATTAAAAACTACAAATTCCACTGTTGCATCCCCAAAGTGCTCTGTGGATGGAAAGTATAGCAGCAACTTGAGTTACGAGAACATCAAATCGACTGAAGAGACAGCACACCATCCGTACATGGGATAAAGTGTGAATTTTCTTTTTCTTTTTCTGTTGTGTGTTTTGACATGTACGGAACAAATAAAAAAATGAAAATGAATTAAATGAAAACTACACTGCATATTTGATATCTCTCCTCTAGGTGCCACCAGTGTGCCAGTGTGTGTGCGGTGTGCCACCATGTGGTGAAGGGACTGTTTGTGTGGTGTCAGGGCTGCAGTCACGGTGGACATCTGGAGCACATTATGAACTGGCTCAAAAGCAGCGCACACTGCCCTGCTGGCTGTGGTCACCTGTGTGAGTACACCTGAACTCACTGCGGACACTGAGGGAGTGGGAATCAATCCGCACACCGTTTTTTAAAAACACACACAAACAGACAAACCAACATGTCTGTGTACATCCATCCAGGCCTGGAGATCTTTTTGTGTGTGTGTGTGTTTGAAAAGAGATGAGCTAAAGGTCAGATTTATGGAGTCTAATGGAGCAAACACACGTCATGTGTGGTGTCATTTTTTTATCTGATTAAGTGAAAATGTATATATGCAAATGTTATGATCGATATTCCAATGACATCATATTTTTCGTATTCCCACGTGTGCATTTTGCATATTTTTTTAACTTCTCGGTTTAATTCTGGAGGCTTGTCAAAGGTGGGCTGTGAATGTTTGTACATACAACTTATTTTGAAGGACTGTAGATAATGTAACGTTAATTTATATGTGGAAAAGTCTCTCAATGCAATACATCCTAAGATGACCAGTGAAGTCTGTTTTCTCACCTACAATTATACAAAAATAGCTTGCTTCAGTTTCTACACAGACAAAGTGAAACTCGCACTAAGCTTTGCATATATTCCTCCTGCTGCCCAGCACATCAGGCTCTCAGCCCTCGTCTTATCCCCGGTGCTGCAGGGAGGATATAAAGCCTTGCTTGAGGGCACCTTCGTTAGACGCAGAACACTACTCGTTCATTTCCCCAAACTGCACTTCACTCTCATGGGCTCAGAAGCTAGAAACCTGCCAACATATCTAGCCTGAAGTACAGCATCAGTGTGTGAAGTTACAGCTGGTGAGATACACAACAGAGCAGCTTTAATAACCCCTGTGACACCACCTGATTGAATGATTTTTAAATTTAGTTCTTTGTTTACTTTCAGACTTTCATGACAAATTGTGACTGACAGACTGAGAATATTTTACCAGTAAAGTCTCAACTCGTAACTCTGATTAAGTTTCTTTTGGACACATTTACAATCATCAAGTGTTTTTTTATTTTTTTTAAAGCACGCAGGAAAACATTTTATGTCAGAGTGCATCGTAGTTTAAATATCGTCCTGTCTATGAGAAGGCCAGAGCACTGCTGTACGAGGTGGACAGAGTCTTTAATGTTGCTGTATCTGCATCAGCTGCTAGATTTGACAAATGGCACCTACTTGTTACAAAAACTGTCATCACATCGTTTCACTGCAGAGGCAGTAAAATGGACAAAAAAACACAATATCTGTCAGACTGCTTTTGACTGCTCCTAGATCTCTTGAATGTTTCACACAGCTGCCCATTGACTCCACACTGCTCCTTGATTTTCTTATTTCCTTGTTTGGATCTTTTTGTCCCCATGTGTGCACATTAAAATTCAGCTTCTCCCTCGTCTCTGCTAATAAACATTCTCAACTGCTGTTCTTACAATAAATCACAGATATTTTTTAAGCCATCATAAAATTTGTAAAAACATACATTTTCTTACAAGGATGTGCTGCTCTGGTATGTCATTGTGGACATGTGGATACATTCAAGCTGAATCAAAGATCTGTCTGTTACGCATGTTTGTTTAAATTGACAGAAATATTACAGACTAGAGTAGAAAAATTCAGCCGTACTAAAGGTAGGTATCCATCAAAAGGAGTTTTAATACAGACCCACATACAAACCAAGTCTATGTTTGAACCTTTTGTTTGAGGACTTCTAGGTAAACAGTGCACAGTTGAAAAGATACACAGTGAATCCACTGAATGATGAGTAACCTCTGGACTGCACCCCTGAATCATTTCTTAAATGTTAAGAAAAGAACAACAAGAATCATTTCATTCTGCATGTACACATGACATTGTCAAAAAGAGTTTCAGCACAATAGATTGAAAAAACCTCTCCTGGAATGAGAAAATGTTTTGCGATATATATAAATTTAATTAACTAACATGTTTCATAAATGTCTCTCCTCTTCAAAATACATTCAGCAGGACGTTTTTTACAAACACAAAGACAGCATACAAATATTTCTTTTGAATAAAGTACAGCTATTCAGAATGTCTTTGAACTTCTTCAACTTTTAAGAAAGCCACCTCTTCTGCTGGTTGTATGAACTTAAAACCACAATTCATTGAAGAGAGTTCAGTTTTTTTATACATTTCACAGTGTAACATCCTTTAAACTAGGATCAGTCCTCCTCGCTCCTCCCTGACTACAGGAGTCCAGTTCACACCAGCACAAGCGAGTCAGGGTCCAGTACCCTTCCTGCCTGTTTGTCTTTTCTCTGCAGCAGCTGCCCCCCGCTTGCGCCGATCTGGCGATCTCTGCTCCGTCAGCCAATCCCAGAGGAGCAGTACGTCAGCTGCTTGGTCCCTCAGCCGTTCTGGGTTCTGCAGGGCTGGCCTTGTCTTTTGGCCTTTCTCTCATTTCAGTGAGATTGTTCCGGGTGGTTAAATCACCCGCCGTCGAATCCTGTCAAAAGCCTCTTCTAAAACAAACACAAAGGATATTGTATCTTTTTTTTTTTTTTCCTACTTATTTTTATTAAAGCAAGTTCAAAACATACAGTGCAATTGGGATGCAGTCAACATTTTTCTTTTTTCCTCAGAAACATTCAAAAACCCAGTATCACTTCTCCCTATAAACAACTCTCCCAGACCAACAAATAGACCTCTTAGTTCAAAGACAAGAATAAAAATGCAAGAGTGAAAACTCACAAAAAAAACACAATAACTAGGATATTGTATCTTTAAAAGAGTTCCTCAAGCACTTGTTAAGACCCAGCCGGGGCGGCTGTGGATCAGTTGGTAGAGTCGCCTCTCAACCGGAAAGTCGAGGGCTCAATCCCCAGCTGGGCAACATGTCTGATGTGTCCTTGGGCAAGACACTCAACTCTGAATTGCTTCCTCTGCTTCAGTGGTGGTGTATGAATGTGATTAGTTACTTCTGATGGATGATACTACATAGTGATCACTACCATCAGTGTATGAATGTGTACGTGTGACATGTGGTGTAAAAGCGCTTTGAGTAGTCAGAAGACTAGAAAAGCTCTATATAAGCCCAAGTCCATTTACCATTTACCCATCGAGTGGAAGCTGTGGAGCTTCAGGTACTCACCAGGAGAGGTTAAGGGCGCTCCCAGCTGTCGGAGACTTTTTCAGGGGCGCTTAGTCGCCTCAGACTCTGCAGCACAGTCTGCAGTTTCCCCGCTGTGATTATGAAACACCGTCATTACAGTTATCCTCACCTGACTGCATGTATCAAATCATGGTATTTCTCCATCTTACCCAGTTCTTCTTCGTAGAAATCCAGCTTCTTTATCAGCTCTGCTACATTTGTCACACCGTCTCCGGCTGCACGGACAAGCACAATACATTTACTAATTCTGTTTTATAATGTCATATTCAAGATGTCGTCCAGCACAGAAAACCTCAGTTCACCTTCATCACCAGTGTCATCTTTCATTTTATCTTCCAAGCCAGTGCTAGAGCTGCTGTTCTTGCCCGTAGTGAAACAGGAGAGCAGTTTAGTGAGACAGGCTTTGGACTCTGCCAGTGTGGCGCTCATCTCCTGAGCGTAGCGGTGGTTCTCCACCAGCTCAGTGTGCACCCTCCTCCATGCCATCTTGTCTTCCATCAGACATCCCTCCATCACGGTGCGCAGCTCCTTCTCCTGAGACACCTGGCTCTGCAGGCTCTCTGCCTCCTCACAATGCTGATGGTAATGTGGGCAGAAGTTTGTTTTCAGTCGGTTGAAAAGGTTGAATTTAGGTTGAATCATTTATGTAAATACTGTAATTGACATCTTAATTGACCCATCTGTCACATAACTGCATTTTACTCATCATGTTACTTCAGCATCTTTTGCACTATTCACCACTGCACTGTTTCATATTTAGTCATGTAAATATTAGTCTTTTCTGATTGTGTTTATTGTTGATATTTAATGTTGTACCTGTACATAAGAGAGCACACTTCACCTAAGTTAAATTACTTGTGTGTGTAAGAATACCTGGACAATAAATCTGATTCTGATTCTGATTGAATATTAACATTGCAGTTTCAATAGTTGCCGTTACCTTGTGTAGCTGAATAGCCATCTCCTGCATCTCGGCCTCGAGCTGGTCGGCATACGCTTGTTCCAGAGTGTCGCTGGGCGGTCGAGCATTACTGTGCCACCTTGCGATAGCAGATGTCATCTTACGCTTTGGTCCAAACAATCTGGAGAAGAGTTTCAGCGTTTCAATCATGAGAAAAAAAAAAATTCAATGTGCTGGGTGACTGTGAAAAGGAGTCTAGTTTCTTACGTGATTCCTATTTCCTTGAGATCATTCTCAGTCAGAGTGAGAAATATCCTCAGGTCGATGTCTTGCTCCACAAGCAAGGGGAGATACTTCGAGAAGCCGATTTGCTCCAAGAACTCTGCAAGATCCTACAGAAACGATATGATTTCAAAGCTGGTAAAGAAACCATCAAACACTCTCACATATGAACCCTGATTCATCAGCAGTAAGTCAGATGTACCTTTGGACCAGAGTGAGAGGGAGGAGGGACAAGAGGTGACCGCATCCCACAGTTCATCGTACCACTAGAGTGAGCTGCATCGTTGTTACCATGGCGACCTTTGCCTTTAGAGTGATGACCTTTGTTTACTCTGCGAGAGCTGCTCTTTTTGCACTGATCGGAGTCCTGATGGGGGGAGGGGGGGGGAAACCTCCAGTGTCAATATGTTAGCTGAAAATAATCTGCTGTTTGACTTTGAAGCATGACTGTATTTGTGTGTTGAGACCTCGTTACTCTCCACGGAGCCTTCCCAGCTGAGGCCGATCACCTGCGGGAGACCCTCGCTGCTGCTGCTGCTGCTCCTCATGGTGGGCATGTCGTTGTCGAAGAACGGACTGTCGTCTGTGGTGTAGTATAAAAATGTTGTGTTGGCAGATTTCAAAGGATTTTACCTGTCTTGCTTTAGGCGCATTTCTAACAATGACAAATATTTAAGTATTTAAATGTATATTTGAAAAGTGAAGACATTTTGGGGACTTGCCCCTCTCACCTCTGCTGCTGTTGCTCTGACCATCTAACTCGTTGATGGGAGACGTCACATCACGGTAGCAGATGGCTTCACTCTGTTCACCAACATCCCGAAACGTCATGTAGCCTGGAGGCACTGATGATGGCTCTGAGCACAAAAGAAGAATCAGAATCAGAATCAGGGTTTATTGCCAAGTACATTTACACATAGAAGGAATTTGACTTGGTGTATTGGTGCTAAACAATAAACAAGGAAATAAAGCAGAACTAGCAACAACTTAAATAATACAGTATAAGAAGATATTATAATATATCAAATATAATTTAAAAATGTAAAATATAAAAAATAAAAAAACAAAATGTACAAAAGGTGTAATGTAGGAGCTGTGCAGAAGTAGAAGTAGAACAAGCTGATTGTAATTCTGATTTCAGATCAATACAATTCTGACACATGACTGGTATGGATAATAAAGTCTAACTGGTTGAATAAAGTGTGACACTACCACACGGTTTGTTGGAGCCTCCTACTCGGAACTTGGCGATGGCCTGGGGCCCGTCGTGGATGCTAATGCCTTTAGCTCGGTTTCTGTTTCTTATCCTCGGGGGTGCACTGTCTGAATCCTCGGAGGAGCTCAGGTCTTCAAAGTGTCCTGAAGGACACACAGACCCAGAAACTTAATCAGGAAACAAAAGACATAAAAAGGATATCAGTGGATATTGTAAAAGTTTACAAAGAGTACCTGGTTTAATCCTTGGAGAACGTAGGTCGATGAGGCTAACGATTTTGGTATATCCGTACAACATTGCCAGAGCACGGGCGGTCTCTCCTTTGGCATTGCGATCATCCACTTTAACTTTCTATAAATCATGTAAAACAAAACAGATTTTGATTATTAGCTTCTTTGTTTGATTTCAATGACACTTTTTCCCTCCCATTTAGAGCGCACATAAGTGAATGGTGATAGACTCACATGATCGAGCAGGTACTGAACAATGATTTCATGTCCAGAAGCAGCAGCCTCCATCAGGGGAGTGAAGCCAGACCCCGGCTCCCTGTGGATGATAAAGATAGTAATGAGCACTCTGTCTGAATGGAGGGTTACATTCATTTTGGAATGAAGTAAAACACTGACTTGACATTAGCGTTAGCATTGTTGTCCAGCAGGAACTTGACCATCTGCTGGTGGCCTGTGCTCGTGCAGTGGAATAGAGCGGTCCAGCCTCTGGAGTCCTTCAGCTCCAACTCAGCACCTTGCTTTTAAATTAAGAACACATCACTTTCATAATCTGGACCCCTTGGTTGTATCATAGAAGTGCTTAGTGCTATGTTTAATGACACTCTTTATTGAAACATTACAAGTGAAAATCTACTCCTGTCATGTTTTAGCCCATTACTACCTATGACTCATGTGTCATTTCAGACAGCATTTGTTTCTATGTTTTACAGTGTGAAAATCAACACATCACTTTAAACTTGTTAATTTGTGGAAAGGATACGGGTCTTTTTAAAATGTTGAGTTCTAATAGCGTGACAGAACTTTCATGATTGTAAAACCAAAACTACATTTGTGTTTGAGTGTAATCTGCCAAACAACAAACGTTTATGTTCAAAAGGCATTCTTGACGTTGTTTTTATTATTTGCTGTCTGCCCTCTGGATAAACACACAATGGTTCGAAACAACAATCAACATCAATTGTTTAGATTCAAAGTGTGGAAACTTTTCAAGGAGATTTTAATTTTTAGAAGTTAAACTTATCTGAACCCAGCGACAGATATACTGTTACCTCAGAACAGAGCAGTTTTTTACCTGAAGCAGAAAGTATGCAATACTTTCATTCCCACAGCTTGCTGCCAGCATCAGGGGGGTTAACCCTTTGGCAGTGGAGGCATTTACATTCACACCAGCCTCCAGCAGCAAGTTTGTTATGTTGTCATGGCCGATGTAAGAGGCATACATCAACGGGGTCCATCCTCCAATGTTCTTGCCATCCAGATCCACCTCATGTCTAAAAAGATACATGATCAGACACATTCAGGTAACTATGATATTAATGATATGATCATTATAGGACCTACTTTTTGATGCACTCAGCCACCACATCGTACTGTCCGATGGAGCAGGCCGTGTGCAGGTCCAGAGGACATCCAGCTCCTCAGGTCGGACAAGGGAGTCACCCAGCCACAGGGAGAGACTGGCACCCAGCTGCTCTGATTCACTAGCTTCATCACTTAGCTCAGACATGCTTCACCTTTTTCAAACTTCCCTTCACACACCTGGAAACGGAGATAGAAACTAGACTAACCACACTAGATTAAAAGAGACTATGAAGCTCTGTATCGTTAAATGTTGGGATAATCTTGAAGCTTTTTACAAATAATTTAACTTAATACAAGCTCCTTATTTTAACTTACTTTATGTTGATTTAAACTTCAAGAGTTGTTTAGTTAGCTAGCTCAAGATTAGCATAACGGGATAAAGTTATCCCCGGTATTAACTTTTCTCCACAACACACGGCATTTAAAATAAGATATGAATAAAAGTTATTTCCCTTATTTATAAAAAAACAACACAGAGGAACTGATACTTCAAAATTAGGTCAAATGTCAAGACGTAAAAACTTACAGTGTAGTTAGTTTTCTCAGCGGCTGAAAGTTTTGTTGTGTGTGTGACCCTCAACTGTGCTCGTGTCGAAACATGCCCCGCCTTTTCCTGTTTGAAGCTGTTGAACTTTTTTTTCGATAACACGTACGAATAAATATATATTGGTTATTGATATAATTAACTCATCGCACTTATATACATATTGACACTCAAAATGATGGATACTTCCTATCAACATGTCTCTGTAAAGTCACGAAATGCAAACAAATAAAAAACAAACAAACATGAAAAGCATCCCTTTAGTTATGAGCTTTAAGAATGGTCAAAAAAAAAAAAAGTGACAGTGTTGACTAAATGACACATTCTATTTAATAAACAAACAACACATTTTTGTCACCTTTGACCCTCAAAACACTAAAAATTCTCCTACAATGTGTGCAATACAATATGTAAAATATGTAGTAGAAACTGATGAGAAGAAACATCACAGTCCAAAAGGGTCGCTTATCTTAAATTCACATAATCCAATTATGGAATGATACTCCAACTAGTTTGTTATAGTTCTATCTATAAATAATAAAAACAAATTCAAGTAAAAAAAACTTAAAATTATTTTATTTAGAAGTATAAACATGAGCCAGCAATTTCAGAACATTTTGAATATCAGCATTGTGGAAATAGGTGTTGGGATTGTTTTTACCCTTTGTAGTCCCTTGTTTTCTGCAATGGCTATTGTTTGAACAATGTCTATCACACTGTATGGTAATATGTGTCCCAAGATCACAGATCAGAAGAAGTTGAAGTGGAACTCTTCCTTTGAGGGGGTAAAGACAAAGGTTGAGGAAGCCTGCTCTTGAGTCTGTTCCTGCAGGTCTGTATCTTGTGATTTAGCTTCTGCTCTCCGGTGGAAGACACACTTCTTTGGAGAATCTGACACAGCTTTCACTTGAGCTGAAGCAAGTTCTGCCAAAAAGGGAAAATGGTGTCAATAAACATCACTTATGGTAGCTCTTTTTTGCAAATAAGCCACTTTTTTAGTTTAAAAAAAAATCATGCTACTCCTATAATCCACTCACCACTATGAATGAGTTTGTACTGTTTGCTCTTCTCCTCCTCCATTTTCTTCCTGTAGTCTCCAGTCATGGCTCTCATCACCTGCCTCTTTTTGGCCAGAGGAGCTTTGGAGCTTTGTAGAGTCTTCAGAGCACGAGAGGCTTCCTCCTCTGCAGGGACAGAATAGTTAAAGCATCACAATTTAAAAAAAAATTCACATTTTGGATATTTACATGGAACATTATATTGTTTTTACTTGATCTAAACAGAATACTTTGTTTTGGTGTTCCCTTCTGGACTCATTCCCGATTCCAGCTGCTCGATGCACCAGTCCAGCTGTCTGTTCAGCTGCTCCTCTGCGCTCTGAAAGCCATTCAAACATTACATTCAGTAAAACAAACTGGATCTCATGATGAAAACATTTCACACTGACCAGCTCTGTGTCCTCGCTCTCTTGACTACCCTCCGCTGAACCTGGTGTTTGCTGCATCTCTGTGCTCTCTGAGGGGTTTTTCTTTCCAGATTTCTTCTTCTTCTTCTTGGCTTTTGATTGCACTAATGATTCAGAGTTGACCTCCGGCAGTGACAAAGGCTTTTCCGGTTGGCTGCTTGGGGAAGACGTGCTCGGGGTTTCTGTCATCTCCATGCTTTCTACAGGTGTGTCAGAAGGGATTTGGAAGTTGAAGGCAAAAGCAGAGCCCTGTCCTGTAACAGATATCCTGCTCGCTGCTGGTTCACTGATGGAGGATGTTTCCACCTGAAGAGCTGCAGAGTTGTCAGGTAGGAAGTTAAATCTGAAGGCGTTGTCAGTACGAGTCCAGAGGGGCTTTTCAGGTCTTCTTTCAACAGGAGCAAAACTGTTTGATTTAGGTTCAATATCTGGTGAATGGACAAACAAACAAACAAACTTGTGAACAACTTACTTTTGGATGCAGGGCATTGATTTAAATCTAAATGCTTATTTTAACAGACAGATTTAATAATCATATTATAAAAGCTCAAATTACAGTACAGCATAACTAGTCAGTTTATGCCATTTGCTGATTAGATTGAAGTGAAATCAGACACATGTTGTGCGGACAGTAATAGTCCACAGACAATATGATTGTATGGTTAAGCCTATGGTCAAGGTAAGACTTCATATAATGATCATTTACCTCGAAACTGCAGACTTCTCTCGGTCATGCTGGATTTTGTGCAGCGGCCGGTTTTCTGACAAAAGGAGCCAGTCAGGGTGAACCTCTTCTTACCAACAATAACTCACTTTAACTCAAGTATTAGCCGATATTTAAAAATAAACAAACAGAAGCGTTAATTTAATCCTGTTTTTACCAAATCAAGATGTGTTCATAAACTCACCACTGGCGTCACCTTTAAAGCGATCCGGCTGTTATTTATTCTCTACCGTTTATCGTTCCGCTTTGTTGGCGCTCTCAGTTGAATGAGGAGACACAAACAGAAATACGGAATGTAAATTAAAAAATTATAATAATAATGGCCATTATGAATGAGTATACCTTATAGACCGGTGTCTTTTTACATGAAAGTAAACGTATATTAGGGAACATTTTTTAACAAGATCACGAATTAATCTGTAGGCTACATTATTACGGGGTCTTTAAGAAGTACGTTGTTGAATTGAAACAGGAAAAAAAAAGTTTTTTAGACAATATAACAAGTATCTTTGTCACACTGTTTGGTTACCTCTTCAGCTCTTTCCTCTCAAGCTTCCACAAAAAAGCTCGACCAAAACACAGGGCTGATTCCTGGGGAGATTCTGAGTTAGGGGGTCAACTGGGACAAAATCATATAACTAATAATAATAACTAAACGATTCACCCAGTTGTTAGGAGAAGCATGATGCTTTATGTGGTTCTGCTGCCTGTGCTCAAGTCTCGCAACATTAACTTGAGGTTTTTACCTATCATTGGTAGAGAAACAGCACTTCTGTGCAAATATATGGGTTTCAGGAATAAATAAATCAGCTAACTTTGATGAGAGAATGAAAAAAAGCGATTACTAAAAGGCGCTTTTTGTTACTCTACTTCGAATGCAGAGCCAGTGAGCCTCAAGTTTTCCTCAGCGAATCATATTCAGTTATGGATTTGTCTCTGAACCAATCATGTGCGCAAAGAGGCGGGACATCGAGCGCTGCGCCCCTCAGACTATAAATACCACCTTCTGCTTCCTGTGATAGTCAATATTACCGAAGACTGACGAGACGAAGATATCATTTTGCTGCTAAACAAAAAGGTATGGAGAGTTTTCTTCCACTGTTCTGCTGTCTGTATTCGATACTTTTTTTTACTATACTACTCATTTTTGATGTCGTAAACTCACATTCCTTGTCTTTAATCGTGTTTAAAGACCTTTACACTCGCTGTAATAGTCACTCACTTGACAACTACACGACGCGCGCAATTACCAATTAGCTTACCGTTGGCTTTATTTCAAGTCATTTGTACAACTTCTGATAACAAATAAACGCCTGTCATTGTGCTAAATGTTGGTAAATGGTTATCCAGTGTGGATGGTCATGTATCAAATTGGCGGGGAAGTAAACGCCGTCTTGGTTTTGTTGTGAACCTCTGTGTTGGCTAGCTGGCGCCATTTTGCAGCCGTCCATGCTAGCTTTAAATCTGCTCTCCATCGACATCAGTCTGAAACGTGTGTTTCTCTTCCAGCTTAATGGTGGCGGATTTCCTTTTATTAGGTTTAACCATCGGCGTAACGAAACCATTGAAAGGTCTTTTTATAACCTTGATTTTAAGAGACTGCTCAGTCAGCTGTGGCACATTGAACGATTGTTTCGTTTGTACACTGAACACAATCTTGAGTTTAACCATTACGACATATTTGTTTGTTTTTTAAGATGTGGGTCACAACAACCAGGTGCTGGCGTTAGAGCCTTTGCTGCGGCGCCTACTTTGAATGTGTCCAGAAATTATCTACAGATGGCGAAAAGGCTTTTAGAAATGTGTTTCTAATCGTAGTTTGCCTCCTCTTGTATTTGTTTTAATTCAGCAGGTGAAGTATGGCTCGTACCAAGCAGACCGCTCGTAAATCCACCGGAGGAAAGGCGCCCAGGAAGCAGCTGGCCACCAAAGCTGCCAGGAAAAGCGCGCCATCTACCGGCGGAGTGAAGAAGCCCCACAGATACAGGTAGCTCATCAGATTCCTGGTCTGCTCCTTCCTGGTCAATCTATTTCTTTGGTAAACCTTGAAGGTTTTTTTTACCTACACCAAAGACTGGTTAAGGTCTTAACCAAAGTGCATAATTTGATTTTTGTAGGCCTGGAACTGTTGCCCTGAGAGAGATCCGTCGTTACCAGAAGTCAACTGAGCTGCTCATCAGGAAGCTGCCATTCCAGCGTCTTGTCAGAGAAATTGCCCAGGATTTCAAGACAGACCTGCGTTTCCAGAGCGCAGCTATTGGAGCTCTGCAGGTGAGGAATAGAACATCCAACTCTGTTTTAGCTTGGTTTCATGAGCTATAAAAGTTACATTGGTTTTGTTTTTCCTTGTAGGAAGCAAGTGAGGCCTACTTGGTTGGACTGTTTGAGGACACCAACCTGTGCGCCATCCATGCCAAGAGGGTTACGATCATGCCCAAGGATATCCAGCTTGCCAGGCGAATTAGAGGAGAGCGTGCATAATGTTGTGATTTTATCTTTTTAGTGGGGGGTGGGTGGGTCTGACTTGGGGTTGTTTTGTAAATCTTGAAATTATTACCAGCACGTGTTTTACCATATTCTTTGTAGTTTCAGGCAGGATAGTTTTGTATGTTATTTACCAATTCCCTTTCACTCTTGACTTTCCTTGACTGTACTGTTCACTGTAGAGTAGCGCTTCTGATGTATATGCTGACAGAAATATTCCACTGCCTTCCTCAGGTTTGCAAGTTTATTTTAGAATGATTTTACTCCTGTGTGTGCATGTCATAGGATTTCTTGTGCTGTAAATAAACTTTCCGCTACCTCAAATTCAGTGTCTTAATCTCATTGAGGTAGATGTCTGATACACATCACATATTTAAGGCAGCTTCATGTGAGCCACATCGCAAAAATCAAAATCACCTGTTGTACAACCTGAGACATGGCCAATAAATGTATCAACCACAAGAGGGTGACCTATACCTCAAAACAATTTCATTAATGTGTTTTACATTGTAGCAAAATATATTTGGAAAAGGCCTTTAGCCTGGCGTATTTTCTGAACTATTCCATTTCCACCCACATGCGCTGCTCAAAGAGTGGTCCTTGTCTGACCAAACCTAAATTGCAGCTCTAACAGGTCTACTCTCTGAACATACGGCTTGCTGATGGTCTGTGAAATGAACATAAAACCTTAAGCATATTCTGGCAGCTATCAGACAGGACTTCTGTGTGGAGTTTACGCATTCTCCCTGTGCATGCATGGGTACTCAAATGACATGCTCGGTAGGGTAATTGGTGACTCTACATTCCCTGTAGGTGTGAGGATGGCTGGTTGTCTCTGTCAGCTCTGATTGACAGGTGTACAGTCCAGGGTGTAACCCGCCTCTCACCCAATGAGTTGCGATCGGCACCAGCCCCCCGCGACCCCTCAACTGGAAAAGCGGTTCAGATAATGAATATTCTGGTAATGTAACTTGATTAAAAAGGGGGTCTCAGACCAATCACAGGACAGATTTTAGATCACAGTAAGACCTCAGTGAATGTGGCATACGAATATATTTCTTGGAAAAGTGAAAAAAGGCAGACAAAGTTGTGGCTCAAATCAAGGCATTTTAATCCACATGTTCTCATCAGTCAACTGAAACTTGACAAGGCGTTGTATTGTCTGGGACAATTCATTTCTTGCTGAGAAAGAAATCCTGTAGCACAGGACGGCTTCAGATGAATGAACTGGTGCTACAGCAATAATTCTACAAAGACATTCACAATAAATATAGGCTGAAATATATACAATAAGTCCCAGATTTGTCAACCTGAATTATTTTCCTCCTCTTTTTGTCTGACAACAAGCCTGGTAGCTGCTCATAAAGCTTCCTCTCCAGCTTCTCGTCTATGTCAGTTTCTTCTCGTAGTGCACACCAGAGCAGGAAGGCGCTGGCACACAGGCTGATTGGCAACACCTTCCACCAGGGACGCTGAAACTTGCTCCCCATGGACTGGTCCACTTTCCAGGTTCTGTGACTGGCCTTACTGGTGGAGAACTTGATGGGCTCATCTTTCACCTCTTTTTCATCATTTATGGGTCTGGCTGCCCTCCGAGAGCTCAGAGTGAGAGACCTCACACTGTTCAGTCGGCTGATAAAGACAAAAATACATCAAAGATTAACATGCAAATACTCACATCAGTCATGAAATGTGTAGTACCGGGCAGTGTACATTGAACAATCCAATAACCGGACAATTTAAAAAGTTGTTTTTTTTGCATATGGAGTATTTTCAATTTTGACACTAGAATCAAAATTAGATTGTAAATGGAGGAATATTATGGAATTATTTTATAAATTGGTACTCTTGAGTAAAAGACTGAATACCTCTCAAACTATAATGCAATGATTTTCATGCAATGCTTAATTTTTACATGAATATTAATTATTAGCCAAAAGGGAAACACTCAAATCATGAAATCTTTACAACAAAGAGACTTTTAAAATGTACATTATCAACATATACAGATCACCTTGGATTTCATTTGTGTGTGTTTTTTCTTTACTGTGCTACTTATTCACTGGTTTTCTGGATGTGAACAGGACAATATGATGATTTCTAGAGACAAATACAAACTGTTCCATCGACAACAAATTATGAATTCAACCTTGAACAAAGGCAGGTTATTTCAACTCTACCCAAGTCAAAATGTAAAACCCAAAATGTGTCTCTGATGGAAATCAGACCAGCTTGTCAGACTTGTAGGGAGATTTCATAAAATTGTTTTCTAAAAGTTGGGACCCTACTATCATAATTCATAGTATTGTAATTCTATGTTAATACTATGGAAGCACAAGATTTGCCAACAGGCTGCCACTTCAAAGAACATGAAGTATGAAAGTAAAGTATGTTTTAAATCACTCAGAGTTAGAATATAGCTTTGTATTTTTTTTTAAGAATATATGAAGCTCACAGTAGAATAAGAACAATTAAAAACGTGTCATTAAAGCACAGCAGCTAGATGACATGAGTCACTGTGGTCTCGGTTAGCCTGCTTCACATTCACTCACCTTCCTGATGTAAAGATCCTCCGACTAGAAGCAGCTCGTCTCAGACCTGACAAAACTCGACCTGCTGTTGTAGACATCTTGAACAAATGGTCATTTTAGGATTTACTGTGTTAGGTCAAACAAACTAAACGTATTCTTACCAAACGCACCTTGGTTAGGTCATGTAACGCAATGTAGTGCGACCTTAAATTCCTTCCGTGTTGCTGTTTACCCCAGCGTTGAACGGTTCCGCTGAAATGTAAAGAGAATATTTCCCTGTACACGTCATCAAATTTTATTTATTTATCAGAATGTTGTCAAAACGATTTGAATAAAAGAAAATTATTTACCCTAAAAAAAGTATTTTTCTGGTTTTTACATAGTGTTATCAAACGGTAAGAGCGTCCTTGAAGCAGTCACGCTCGCCAACCAATCAGTGATCAAAGAGACATATCTGTCCAATCACGACTGTCCTAGACGAAATAACTTCCTGGTCCAGGTCCCATGCTTGTTTTGTGCTGTCTGGAGTTCTGCACGCATTTTCGCACTTCAAGTGAGTATTTTTTGTTACAAATATGGTCTGAAAATATAAATGGTCGATCCATGATTGAGTTTAATTTGTTAATAATGTATTTGTGTTGGAGTCATAAAACAGCATCGTCATTTTTTTCTTGCGGAGGGGGGGGGGGCTTTACACATTTTGAGTGAAATACAGTGTATTACTTTATTTATGTATGTTCAAAGGGACATTAGGCAATAATCAATAGTAGGCTTTAGCTGGGCGAGGTTAGTTTTGTGTAATACAGAAACACTGAATTAGTCATTCGTGCAGTTAAGTTTAGATCATCATCTTTCTGGGTCTCCAGTGCTTGTTGTTTATCCATTTTTCTTCATTAATGTACACATCTCTGTTGTTATGTGCTGTTGTAACTTTGACATGCTTTTATTTGTAGTACTAACTCATGGCAAAAGACAAATCCTTGAAACCAGAAACCGTTCCATCCAAACGGAAGAAGCTGAGTGAAGATGCTGTTGATGTTCATGAGAAAGAAATGGAGCAAACTAAAGTGAAAAAGAAAAAGAAAACCCCTAAAGTAGAGGTGAGTATGACATCCCTCATGTCTGTGCCTGTTTTAGACAACACAGCCAAATATTTCACAAAAAACTAATGAATGTGTATTTAATGCAGGAGGCTCCAGTAGAGATTCCCCATGTGACCGTCACAGCAGACAATGAAACACAGACAAAGATAAAGGAAAAGAAAAGAAAAAAGAAACAAAAAGCAGAGGAGACAGAGGTAAGAATGACGCTATTTTACTTTATTTATATCTTTCATGCTGCAGGATTCTATTAGTATGCAATAAACACAATTTGAGGATTTGTGTTGATCTGTACAAAAATCTGTTACAGGTCGTTTGGTTGTCTTACATATCTCATTTGTTGTATAACATGGTTTTTATTGTACTGGAAAATGTTAGAAGATATAACTGATGTCTTGCTGTTAAGTCTAAGTAAAGATAAAAAAGATGCTAGTACTTGAGGTGAATATACAAAACAGTAAATAGACTTGATATAGTGTTTTTCTAGTCTTCTGACTACTTAAAGTGCTTTTACACTGCAGGTCACACCTACACATTCACACACTGATGACCTCTATGTAAAGTGACCATCAGAAGAAACTCATCACATTCATACACAGCTGACGAAGCAGGGGTAGAAATTTGAGGTTAACTTACACATCGGACGTGTGGCTGCAGGAGAACCCCCTACCATCCGGTCTGAGCAGGGATCGCTTTTAAATCCCTCTATCAAAATGCCCCCCCCCCCCCAAAAAAAATGGTTTAATCCTGTACTCACTACCGGCTCGTAGAAAGTATAAGCAACTTTATATTGAAAAGTATTTGGCAGTTTGCTCGCTCCCTTCTGATCTTCTCTGTTCTTAGGATGGGGACTAGCTCAGTCTGTAGGGACTTGGGTTGGGAACCGTAGGGTCGCCGGTTCAGCACTGCCGAGTTGCCCTTGAGCAAGGCGCCAAACCCCAAACTGCTCTGGTGCGCTCTCTGCTTAGTAGCTTGTAACAGCCTCACTCTGACATCTCTCCACTAAGTCCACAGGTCCTGTTTGTGTGTGTGTGTGATTCAGGCCTGTGTGTGTGAGAAGCATGTCTCTATAAATAACAGTGTAAACCACAATTTCCCTCAGGGATTAATGAAGGATATCAAAATATCAAAAAACATCACAACAAGCAGGACACACAGCGTTTGTAGTGGCAACTTAACTCAAACAAAAATCCTCTTGCCACTTCTTGCAGGACTACAAGTTTCTGACTTGTAGGCTACTTTCCAAAAGACACATTTTTAAAGTAATCCAAAGATGAAAGGAGGCAGATTTAAAGTGACAAAAAAAAGATGATTTATTCCTCAAAAAAAAGAATTGCAGGTTACAAAATAAGCTCTTATAAATATTACACGTTTACTAAAAGAAAACCTCTCGGATTTGACCAAAAACTAAAACTGTGACGGTCAGAAAACTGTTGCTCCTCGTCCTGCTTGGTAGAATGCCTTCTCATCTGAGTATTTATTCACCTGTACCCACATGGCAATTTATGACAATTAGCTGCGCTTTATGACAGCAGGAACACTTTGCAGCAGCACTTCTAACCACACAGACCTACTATAAACACACAATGTTTCAATACGTGATAAATATAAAAAATGTAAATTAATTCAAAAGCAAAAACTCTATTAATTATAAACGTATAAATACAAAATTATACTAATGGGCAAATTATATTTTTATATTACCTGTTGTCCTCTATGGCTCAAACAGTGTTTATCATAGCTTTACTTCACTTGAAGTAGTATTCATACCGATATATTCATACTGAAACTCTCTAATTTCATTTATTTATTTTTTTAATCCATAAAAATGAGAACCAATAAGAACATGGAGGCAACATGGAGGCAACAGATACCAAAAAGAGATGACTTAAATGGATCACAAAGATTTGACTTTGTTACTTAGGGAATCAGGTCTGACATTTTTCAAATGATGCTATGATGTCATCCCTGCAGATATTATTCCTAGAACTGGTGCCAATCCACTTCCTGAAAGTGGAATGGGCCAGATGAGAGTGTGACTTGTGTAGCTTGTTTTGGTTCTTTGAAAATGTTACCATGAAGAATATAGATACTGTTGGTTTCAAGTAAGCATCTGGCGTTCTATTCCCCTGACTTAATGTTTCCTAAGTGGCATTCAGGGGATTGCGGAGCTTTTTCCAGGCAGTTCCTGTGAATGGGCTTTTGTGTGAAAGATGGTAATGCAAACAGGTCTGTTTTCCAAGAAAGAGAGGCGTGTCCAAAGGCCAGCTCGACACATTTACAAAAAACTACAAATGTTAGTCATTTTCTAATGAACTTACTTGTAGATGTTGGTTTTTATAAATTATATAGACATATTGTATCTGAAGTGAGAGAAAGGAATGTAGCAACATGCTGCACAATTCTGAAGAAAGAAATCAGCTGAAGACTTCAAAGATCAAAAATGAAAACAAAAAAGCACAAAAGAAGGAAACTTAAACTTTTAAAACACCTGAGACTCTTGAAGGGAAAATGCATGTGTAAAATAACATTACATTAAATTGACATTGTAACTTAAGAGCTAAAGAGACAGGGGAAGCGTTTAAAGTAGATTGTTCTACTACATTTATTTGTTTATTTTGGCAGGGACAGTGTACAGCCAATTAGCTTTACCAGAGTTAGCGATAAGCTAATTTACATCTGTAGTCTGGAAGTCTGTAATTCTTATTTTAGTCGTAGATTAGAGTTTTAGTCCTCTATGACTCGATGTCCTGCAGGGTGTCTGTGATCTCGATGTGAGGAGCGATGATGTTCCGGTGTGGCTGCGTTCTGCCCGGTCTCCTGCAGCAGTCCCTCAGCTGCCTGAACGCTCCGCGCAGATTCTCTCTGCACGGCCTGTGCATGAGCAGCACGAGCAGCAGGCTGACGCTGCTCCCTGAGAACAGCACGAACTCGGCCACGCTCAGGAACGCCTGTTTATGATAGCTTAGATTCGCGCTCTGTAGCTCCGCCCCTCTCAGCAGGGCCACGCTGTAGAAGAGCTGGCAGAAAAACACAGCCGAGGTGACGGTCAGGAACATGGGACCCTCCTCAGAGCCGGACAGGAAACGTCCTTTTGATTTACACTGCCGGACGCAGCCACAGATCAGGAGTCCCAGCTGGAGGATGTAGGGGATCAGAAACACCAGGCAAAGCCGGGCAGCAGCATAAGAAACACCAGAACTGACTGGATCCATAAAACAAGGTCCTTCCTTCTGCAGACCATCGTTTGGACCACGAAGCCCTGCCAGCAGCAGACAAACCAGCACTGATGTCAGGATCACTAAAGCCACACAGACTGCAGGCTTCCTCAGCAGCATGTGGGACGGCGGGTCCAGAGTGAGGGTGTAGGCCATGAGAACCAACAGCAGCAGACTGCACAGAGAGACCGTGTTGATGAAGAACGACAGAGCTGCACAGCCTAAACCTGAGGTCTGCAGGTAGGCAGGTCTGTAAGCGACGGCATGGAGGGAGAGGAGCAGCAGCAGCAGGTGGAAGCCACAGAAGGCCCAGAGGAGGAAGTTGAGCCACGTCAGACGTCTCTGAGCTCTGTAGGTCTGCACAAAACTGTAGAGTAGGAAGCAGCCGGCGACAAAGCCCAAAGACGCAAAGAGACTGTAGACGTAGTTCGCTCTGGAGGTGATGTCATTGGCTGCAATCCTACAGTCAAAGGAGGTGATGTTGGGGGTGGTGGATGTGTTGGAAGACGGAGGTGTGGCACTGCTCACAGTAGAGAAGTGATTTTCCTGAAAATGAAAAGAAAAAAAGTGCAAATATATCGTTTAGAATAAACTTATTTCAGAAATCAAACTCAGCTTTTTTATAAACATATGAAACAGTGTTTAGAATTGCTCAGACTGTGACTCATTTAGTATAGAGAACCCACCCTTACAAAGATAAAGATAAACATTTTTGATCCCCCATGGGGGAAATTTTTGCATTACCGCTACTTTTATCTGTATTTAATGAATCCATAGAATGTGGTGCATTACCACCAACTTTGACACAAGCCATTGCTTTCCTTCTCAAAAGGGACAAAGATCCAACCTCCTGTGGTTCATACAGACCATTATCTCTGCTTAATGCTGATGTAAAGGTGTTGACTAAAGTAATTGCATCCCATCTAGAGAATGTGCTTCCTCATATTATATCCGAAGAGCAAAATGGTTTTATAAAGGGACGTCAATTGTTTTTTAAAGAACCCATATTCTGCCCTCTTTGGGGTTTGTATATTTAATATATGTACCTACTTTTGGACGTTCACAATAGCTGAAGTCTGAAAAAAGTGTCTGTTTTCATGTACTGCTCCTCCTTGCTCCCTCTCCGCTCTGAGTCCGTCAGCTACGCTCTGCTGAGCCCCACTGTTAGACCCCACGGGGGCCAAGTCTGCTCTGATTGGTCTGCCGATCCGCTCTGTCGTTATTGGTCAGTTGCTCAGCATGGTTCTCAGAAATGTCCCGCCTCTTTTACCATATTGGGAATGCAGCCACTGGCTCCGTCCGAGAGGAGCATAAACATTAGCACCTTAGCACTACTGTGCTACCGCAGGCTACGGCATATCGTGGGCGTGCTACAGAAGTTAACGGGTGTGCAACATGAGCTGCTGGGCTTGCCACAACGAGCCAATGGGCTTAGATCAGTGATCTCACACTGACAATGACGTCACAGTGACACATTTTTATCGAGGGGGGCTAGAACCGAGCGTTACATGCAGCTAATGCTGCAGCTAACAGGAGGACGTAGGAGAAGCTGAAAATATTTCTTTGATTCACTGGATAAGATAATTTGTTCTTTTATTTGGGGTGGGAAATCTCCTAGGGTTCGTCAAACTTTACTGCAGAGCTGCAGACTTAGTGGAGGACTTGCATTACCTAATTTTCTAACTTACTATTGGGCTGCTCACATCCATAAACTTTGCTACTGGTTAAAATCTCCTGAATCCTCTTGGTGTAAATTGGAACTATCATCCTGTAGGGGATCTTCTATTCCTGCTCTACTTTATTCCTCTTTACCTACAAAACCCTCTCTATATACTGATAATCAAGTGGTTCTTAACACACTCAAGATCTGGTATCAGTTTAGACGGCATTTTAAATTTGTTGCTGCATCTTCCTTGAGTCCTTTAAATAACAACCATTTATTTCCTCCATCACTTTCGGATTCGACATTTTCAGTGTCGTATGACAAGGGTATTACACAATTCAAATATTTGTATGTAGATGGTGTCTTTGATAGTTTTGTCATCTCACTACGGCCTCCCTGTTACTCATCTGTTTCGCTATTTTCAGACTCGCAATTTTATTAGTAAGTGTTTCCCTAATTTCCCCTCTTTACCTCCAGAACAGCGATGGGAAACCACGCTATCATTTGCTCCTCATCACAGAGGAATCATCTCAAAGTTGTATGATATTATCTTGGCTTTTAGCGATCACTCAAATGCTAAACTTAAGTGTACATGGGAAGAGGAGCTGGGAATGCGAATACGGGAGGAGTCCTGGGAACAGGCCATAGAGAGGATACGATCTACCACCTCTTGTGCTCGTCTTGGACTTATCCAATTTAAGGTCTTATACAGGGTGCATTTCTCTAAGTCTAGACTATCTAAACTGTATCCCTAAGTGGAAGACAAATGTGATAAATGCCATGGCTCTCCTTGTCACCTTAGCCACATGTTTTTTCTTTGTCCTGATCTGAAAGGTTTCTGGGGGGGTTATTTTACTATTATGTCCACTGTTCTTGGGGTAAATCTTGAACTTTGTCCTCTGATTGCTATATTCGGGATTCCTGACCCCTTACTTGCACTTACCTCTACACAAAAGGACATTATAGCTTTCACGTCCTTACTAGCAAGACGTTCCTTATTGTTGCATTGGAAGTCTGTTAAATATCTGTCTATCTCCCGGTGGCTCAAAGACATGATGTTTTTTTTTTAAACTTGAGAAAATTAAACACACGTTGAGAGGATGTAGTCAAATTTTTCCACAAATGGCAACCCTTTATTTCCTATTTCACTAATTTAGAGGTACTACCCGATTGAATGTGTGCCTGCTACTGTTGCACCTTTTGTATTGCATAAATAACCATTAATGTGTGTTGGTCATGATGCGCTGAGTGGGGGCTTGGGTGGGGGGTTGTGCATTGTTTATTAGACTCTACTCTGTGATTTAATTTAATTATGTTCTTCTACATTCTTATCAGAGTATTTTTGTTTTGTTTTTTGGTTATTTTCATTCTTATGTGTATATGTGACTGTGTGTACATATGCATATATGTTTAAAAAAAGGTAAATTGTATTTCTGTGATTGGAAGTATCAGTGTGTAGAATTATTGATATGAGTCATGAGGTGGTGATGCTGTTAAAGAGTCTGATTAAACAGTCTGACGGCAGATGGGATGAACGACCTGCGGTAGCGCTCTGTCTTGCAGGGTGGGTGTCTCAGTCTGCTGCTGACACTGCATATTTCTGTCCTGAATAAGCTCAAAGTTTATATGAACTTTACTAGAAGTTGTTTCTTTTAGATCCCAAGTAAAACGTTCCTCAGTAATGGGAAATCAAGAATTATAAAAACTCATCTTCAAATTCATAACGCTGGCTAATCAAGTTTATATCAGCAGAAAAAAACTGTTTCCTCAAAACTTTAGATTTTGACACCATCTGGAATCTGTTCATCCATATTCTAAACTAAACCAATTCACTAATCCTCTTTCTTCTTCTGCCTGTGCACTAAACAACAAAAACACGACATATTTCACCCAGAAAATAGAAACATTAATGATCTCATTAATGAACTATTTTTATTTGAAAAAGTTCACTCTTTAGGTCGATGCCAACATTTCCGTTGAGCAGCCTTTGTCTGCCCCGCTTTGGGGAACCGCCTGCTCAGTAAGCACACATGTTTCCACTTACCATTTTTCTGCTTCCGTTGCCCACTCGTCTTGTGTTTTGTATCCAGCAGCCTGACGTCGTAAGATCCACTCAGATCTCTGAAAATGATGCTCTCTGCATGGAGGCTATTGCTCGCTCTGAAGAGTTTTCATATGTTTCTGTAGGGTGTACCCTGCCAACACACTTTCAGAATGACTTCTTGGCCATGTGATCAAAATCTTTTCCTCCCCTCCCTTCTGTTTTTTCTGGGGGTTTTTTCATCACCCTGCAGTCCGTTAAATCAGAGAGCATACTGAGGCACTTGTTTGGCTTCCCCTAAGACTTAAACATGGTCTCTGAGTTACTGCAGTGTAGCAGCTTTAGTTTATTTGTTTCTATGGATTAGTTATTCTCCAGACAAATGAGCTGATAATTACTTCTTGTACACAAAGTTTCTGCTTTGAAATTTCAACTTAATATTGGTTTCAATTTTGAAATCCCTGCTAAAAAGCATGAAAAGCATCCCCACAGCACGCATGGTTATTTTAAAACTAAGCAAGCGCTGGTGCTCTGAATGCCTCACTGAAGGGAAGTTGTGCACCACAGAAAAGTTCAGCACACGGTATAAATGCATCTGACGATGACCTCACAAAGCTGTAGAGACAGGAAACGTCCCTCTGAGCTGTACATGAACAGAAGCCTGAAGTGCATTTAGGTTTTGTCTGCATATGTGCTGCAGAGCAACAAAATATCAAATTTTGTTTTTATAGCATCAACAGAACAAAGAATCAGTAATAAATAAAACATGGCTTTTTCAGAAACATATGTTCATGTTTGGGAATGAGTAGGAAAAATGTGTTTGTAGACACAAAAAGTGAAATGATTGATAGAATGATAAAAATGTGTCCCATCATTGGCTCCCAGTGGATGTGAGATATTTTTGGATGTCTGATAAGCGTTTCACACAATCAACGAGAATAATAAAAGTCTACAAAGGAAGTTCTGTGAGTGCAGCTAACTCCCATGAGCCTTTTTGTTTTTGCTTTGACAGATTTCAGAAGCGCCCGGCCTGCCAAAAGGGGCGCCTGACGTGGAGGGAGAGGAGGACCTGAGCCCCGAGGAGAGGAGGGTCCTGGAGAGGAAGATGAAGAAGATCCTGAAGAAGGAGGGGAAGAAGAGGCTGAAAGACGAGGGAGTGACCCCGGAGAAAACCGAAGCGCCTGCACCCACTGCGCCTCAGCATGCCTTGGACTATCTCACATGGTAAGAACCGCTTTGATTTAGTCCAGGAGGAATTCTACAAAGGGACTCGTACAGATGTGAAGCAGGCTTTATTTTATAAACAATTGGTCCAAAGTAACCCTTTTTTTTTTTTTTTTAATACAGTTTTAAAAATAAATGTGCAAAATCAGCATTAACTGAACAGACATTTGGATCCAGAAACAAACTTTAAAGCTAGTTTAAAGTGTTTATGGCACAAAACTGTTTTTTAAAATTAGATTATGAACGCTTAATGCCCAGACTATCATGAGTTAATAAATGACTCATATAGAACATGAATGAAGAGTATAAATGAATAGAATAAGTTAGACATTATTCATGGAGGTTCATGTATTATTATTATTATAGTTGCTCATTAATGCATGGCTTGGTTCTGAAAGAGTCGTACATTAACTCATTATGAGTGAGTTAAAATGCACGAGTGGTGGTGTTACCATGACAGTAACAGGTGACAACAATGAAGTCAAATTCATCCTTCAAAGTAATAAGAGTTAATTTAATCCTCTGAAGTGTTGTAAATGAATGATATCTTGAAGAGAAATTCAACAAAGTTTATTAACAAAGTTTGATTCATTAATCATAAGGAGAGGAAACTGTTATACAAGATTCTGTTTGAAGTCTGAGAACACAACAACCTAAAAATATCTTCAGCGTCAAAATAACTTCCAATAATCCAAAAAGTCAAGTCATCTTAACAAACCAACTTCAAACATGTATATATGAATAAGTAGTATTTTGTTCTGCCAGTTGTAATGTAAGATTTAGTAAAACAAACTGCAGAGCGACCCACTCTAATATCTTCCACCTCAAACTGTGATTTCAAACATTACCTTCATTATAATTCCTTGTTAAAGTTATCACCTGTGTGTACAGTAGAACATTTTACATTTATGTTAACTGATGTAATACCACAGCCCCCTTTCGGTTTTGTCTCTGCAGCTGGGCAGAAAATCGCACCGAGTGGAAGTTCCAGAAGACCAGACAGACGTGGTTACTGCAGCACATGTTCGACTCTGAGAAGGTAAAACTAACCTGAGTTGGGGGGGAAGTGCTGATCTTCAGACATATAATATAAATGTTTATACACTAATATTGGAGCTGCTGCAGTTATATTGAAGAGTAAAATGTGCCTTGTATCTGCTGCAAACGACCACAGGTTATTTACTTTCATTTATACAAAAGGAAAACTCCCATACATGAAGTAAAGACTGAATAATGGTAACGTTAAATACTTGTACTCAGGTTCCAGATGAGAAGTTCTCCCTGCTGCTCCAGTACCTGGAGGGTCTGCGTGGAGGATCCAGAGACACCACAGCTCAGAAGGCCTTAGCTCTTATTGAAATGTCGGGACAAGAAGCAGAGGACAGCGCTGTCCAGCAGAGGGCGCACCGGGCCAGAGAAGTTATCCAGCTGCTCACCTGAACGCACCACACAGAGTCCACCAGAAAAAGACTGAAATATGTTGATCAGTAGACTGATAGTTCCCTGATCTTATACTTGGACTATAAGTTATTTTATATGTAGTATTTTGTATTGGTGCTTTGAGAAAGAGGTGTTCTATTGAATTATCATCAATGCTCGTTTATTTTTTATATTAATGTCATGATGACTTTCTCTTCTCATTGTTCTCATACTTACATTTACATTCTTGCTTGTTCGTGGTCCATCACCAAATCTTTACTATAAAATATGAAATGTTACACTTAATGTTTGTTACACAGATGATTTTTCAGTAGTTTTAAATAAACGCTCAGAGTCCAGTGTCACCGTCATCGACAGAGGTGGAGAAATTCAAATTCCCAAAGATATTCAAGAAAGATGAGAGGCTCCTGGCGTTAAAAGTCACAGGAAGGCTTCTCCTCGAGACATGTTAGTGCACGTCAAACCCTATAACCTGAAGTCACTGTTGGGAATGACCTCATCCACTCAAGATATAAACAGAATTAAAAAAAAAAATCTCCTTGCAGATTCATGTTGACAAATTCTTTTACAAAATCTTCCCCCCAAAAAATTCTCCTTTGCTGCAAATGATCTGATCTTTGGTCACCCACTTGCATAATACAACATGCATCTTAAAAGTTAAAGATTTCTCTATATGTGGTCAAAGGCTGGTGACATCACTTCCAGTATTAGAGTCTATAAAAATACTGTGAAATAAAGTTGTAAGTATAGACAACTCACGCCATGATCTGTTAGGAGTTTCACATTATTATTGCGTTGTGGTGAGACACACTCGAGTATCATATCAGCTAATTAATAACATGGTTAATTCATGAATTTCCTATTTTTCTGTACACATTAAAAAACGTCTGGAAATACTGTTTGACTACAATTTTTGTCCTGAAACAGATTTTGGGGGACTCAATTTTATCATTTTATAGTTCATAAAATTTAATGTTAAGATGTGCTTTTAACCCTTTCATCCCTCTTCAAAGCAGACAATTTCCTCTTAAACATTTTTTTTTAAAGGTTGAGTATGTACAGATTTCTACATGTTGACAATTTAATCCTTTCAGAAGAAACTCTTGGAAATAGCAAACAGTGTTCTAGATTTTGTTTTTTAAAAAAGGTCTTTGAAGTTTATAATCCACAAATGAGTTCAGTTTTTCCTCCATGTGCCCTGATGAAATCAACCTTCAGTCGTCACGTTGAGCGAGTGTCTCCGTCGCTCAAACAGAACCTTCACATCCAGTAAGCGTCTGTAAGATGGTTAGACGGTGACTTGCTCTGGGAGATGTTCAATAAGGCCGTTGTCTCCTCTCGGCTGTTGATCTGTCACTGTCACGCTTACTGTGCTTTTGGCTTCATCTGCAACATCCAACAAAGACAACACAATTCACACACTGATCAAACCTTAAAGGGTTAAGGCGACCCTGCAGAATTAACTTACTGTGCTTTGAATCAAAAGGAATATTGTGTTGAGTAAGGAGTGTGCGCAGTCTCTCAATCTCTTCCCTTTGTTTTTGGAAATCCTGTGTGAGAAATTATAATGACAATATCCATTTTCTGTCACATGTTAATATACAGATATGTAGTTATAATTCAGATATTTTTTTCATTTGAAAGAGCTCATTATTAGACATGCCTCTGTGCATTTCTGTAAAGAGTTGTGTGTTTCTGAATCCACTGCAACTTCTGCCGCCTTTATTCTCACTTTTTGGCTTTTCAGGAGACCAGCATCCTCAAAAATATCCCTCAAGAGATTGTTGTAACCCTGCAGCAGAAGTACATGTTAGTTGACAAATAATCACAAATGACTCAAATTTGAATACGCTTTGTGAAGTACCATAAAATATGTACATAGAACAAAGCTTGAAACACACCAAACTGATTGTTTACCTGCTCAGTAACAAGATCTTCATAGTGAGCCTGCTCGGCTTCATCCCATTCCCTCTGCAGCTTCTCACTCAATGTCGGGTACACTTACAAAGGCATAAAAGTGTTTTAAAAATATATATATCAATACAAATACTGACTTGGCAATAAGGTTTTTATCTTACCTAAAAGAGAATGTGGATGGCAAACCAGAGGGGTCTCAAAGGTCAGTGAGTACACACAGGTACTGGGCTCGGAGACTTGAGCTAGCTTACTGCTTGTGCTGCAGACAAGAATCACCTACAGAAATAAAAAGATAACGTATTAGTTACACAACATTTGCAGTATTCATGTTGTTGATTTGTTTGTGTGAAGATATTGGACAGTTTCCAGTCTGATGAAGGTCTGGTCTGAATGTTTAAAACATTTTAGAGAGTTAAATGTCATGGTCTAGACTCATAGTCAAACATTAACTGATGTGTTTGTGTTAAAGGAGTCACACTTCAAGAAAAAAGAAGAATCCTAGACGTTGATTGAATAAGCCTGTTGAAGCTCCTAAAACACAATCAAAACAAGTGTTTCTTTTTTTTTCTTCTAAAGGACCTTTGTTTCCCTGTTTCTGGTTCCACAAGTATCCCCATCTCTCATCCACATGCCTGTGAAAGTGTTGTTTACTATTTCCCACTCCTGCCAGATCCTGTTAAAAACACATACAAGCTGCTTATTTAGAATGACATTTACACAAAGGTGATGTAAATAAGATGAACTGCTGCTTACCCCAGTATACCACTGTAAGCGTTCCATCTATATGACTGCTCATGTTGTGTGATGTTGTGAAATGGACAGAATTCATATTTATACCTGCATGGAATGAACACAAATACCCTGTCAAGTTTTTTTTTTTATATAAATACTGTAGTGTAAAAGAATTCAGTTGACATTGAGCATGCATAACAGTTCATGTATGCTGTGTAATGCAAAAAGCTTACGTTGACTCTATGAAACTGAAGCACTTTCCTGCAAGCCGCTGAAGATGTGCAGGGCCTGTGCAGAGGAACACAACAGTGTTGACTTAAGATAATCCAGTCATTGGCTGGTACACAAAGGGTCAACTTGATTATATTCAGTCAACTTGTTCTTGCAAACATTTTCCTTCACAATATTTAAAAATAGAATTAATTTAAACATATGCTAAATGTCATCCAGTCAACATATTTTACCAGACACTGGAGATGGGATCACTTTCGGCTGTAGTCTGCTTCCCTGGGCTAGAAAAGGATTATTCAACCTAAACACAGGCAGAGAAAAGTCAGTCTGAAAGTTGATTAAGTCAACAAGGTGCAAACTGTGACGGATAGCTTTTTCCTAAACGCACCCAAATGTGTTTGGCTCCTCGACTATTTTCATTTTACTGGCGAATCCATGATTTACTGCGAGAAGAAAACAAGTCAGCATCTGTCTCAACTCATTCAAGACACCTTGTCATGTAGCGAATCTAGTTTGATATTATTACTGTGTGACTTGATCTTAAAAAACGAGTTAGTTTTTAAGTACTTACTGAATAGAGATATAAAGACCACCCACAACCTTAATAAACGATGCATTCCGGTACATGTAAAGCTGATTTATAAGTGGGTAAGATGCGTGGCGTTCATTTCTGGCTGCATTTCCTGCTTTGCTGTTTCGGTCATCAGATGGCCTGTCACGTGACAAAAATAAAATGTGTGCATGCGCGGTGAACTTTCTGTACTACGACATGCTATTTACGATTTAAGCTTACAGTACTTAATAACATTATAAATTATAGTGACGGATAAACACAGGCATTTATTAACGTATCGTGATAAAAAATATTCAAATTATAGATATATTTATTTTTGTAAGGTTACTTCTTTAGACATACCGGTGTCACTGAGGTAGCTAGCTAGCTGGCTAACTCATGTCAGAGTGAAGCACGTAAAAAGATGTTGGTTAGTTTTAATCAGAAGGCAGATAACTAACTTTCCACTGCCTGCAACATGGGACGAAAAAAACAGGGCAAGTTTGTGCGCCCTGACAACAAGGGAAAAGACAAAAGGCATAAAATGAAGGGGAAGTCCTTGGAGGCATTTGAGGAAGAAATGCACACTGCTTTTGAAGGTAATAATACTTTGACATTACAAAACAATATCAACTGTTTAAATTCATCTTTTTCATGGTGACAACAAGTCCAGGATTTATCAAATAAAAAAGTTATGTCTTAAATGCTGGAAAAAAAAACTCTGGGTAAGACAAATGTACGAAATATAGCTGAAGTAATTTGTGTGGAATTTGGTTATATCGGGAACTGTGTTATATGCCATAGTACTATATAGTAGTCAACAAAAAAATTGTCTGTAGATTAAGGTGATGGTGAAAAATGTTATCTTACAAATAGTCTGAAATGTAAGAATCTCGTTGTTCAGTTTTAACATTCACATCAAACTGACTACTTTTTGTGTGTTCTCACCTTTTCCAGCAAGTCTTCATCTTGAGAAGGGGGCAGAGGCCCCTCAGATTAAGCTACCTTGTCCACTTGCCATGTGGGAGTTGGGACACTGTGATCCCAAACGTTGTACTGGCAGAAAGCTGGTACGCAAAGGTTTTGTACGCAACCTGCGCCTCAATCAGAGATTTAACGGACTCATTCTGAGTCCAATGGGCACAAAATATGTGACACCAGCAGATAGGTGGGTAGTGTTCCTTTTCCCATGACGTTTTGTCTTAGAGCCTTTAGAAAATAAGTACAGTTTTTGTTATTACAATGCATAATAATAAATCATATAGCAGGCTATGAGCTGCCACTCAAAAGAGTTAATTTAGTGATTATTTTATAGTTTGATCAGTTAATAATTGAATCCATGAAGTTTGAGATTGTTTAATTTATGATCAGAATCTATGAAAGCCTTGTTTATATTACAATGAAGGGCATTTTTTTGTCATACTTTATAACAAATTTAAATATTTAAAACATTCTGGCAAACTAAAAGATTTAATTGATTCCGGAAACTATTTTTATAATAAACTATTATGTTTTCTTGAATCTTTACTGTGATCGAATGATAATCAAATGGTGTGATATAGAAAAAAGCTTTTTGTGTTGACCTTTTTTCACACAGAGAGATTGTGGCTAAGAATGGGTTAGCAGTGATCGATTGTTCCTGGGCCAAACTGGAGGAGACTCCCTTCAATAAGATGGTCGGAACTCACCCCAGGTTACTGCCGTACCTGGTAGCTGCAAACCCAGTCAACTATGGCAAGCCTTGCAAGTTATCTTGTGTTGAGGCTTTTGCAGCCACATTCTGCATTGTTGGTGAGGTTCTATATTGTCATCCTGACTGCCTTGTATCCTGTTTCACGTTACCGCAGTGAAACTCAAATGATCTGATTTTGCAGGGTTTGAAGAGCTTGCGCTGCTCTTGTTGAAGAAATTCAAGTGGGGGACAGTGTTCCTGGACCTAAATAAAGTTCTGTTGGAGCGTTATGCTGCTTGCCAGTCAGAGGAGGAGCTTCTCTCTGTGGAAAAGGACTTTCTGATGGCTAAACCAGAGGAGGATGACTTTGGTAAAATTGGGGAGAATTAAATCGGGGTCACGTTCAGTGTGTTCTCCTGATAATTGTGTAGCATTGTGTGGTTGGATTAATTTTGGATTTAGTCCCACATGTCCTTATTGATTATTGGTTTGGACTGGAGTGCAAATAGTAGCTCTAAAGTTATGTTCTTATCTATTAAACAAAGCATGCAGAAAGCTGAGATTCAAAATACACGTGTTACTGCATTCAAAGGAAGGTGGGCTTTATATAAAAATTGTATTCTTTTCTGTAGCTATTTTAATGTTTTTGTTTGTTTTATGTTGACTTACCACTGCTGGTCTGACACTTTAATTTGGTACATGATGATCATAAAACACAGTCCTTAAAGATTTTCATTTTTCACTTATAAGTAATATCATTCATCAAAACAATTAAACTCACTGTTATTTGTGCGACCTGACTCACAGTTCTAGACAACTTTCTCCATAGTTTTATACCCTATTTGGATCCCTTTGGTCATTGAATTGCAATTAATTCGATACTGTTTAAATTTATGTAAACATAAAAATAGAGAAGTGCTTCAGAAGGCTTGAACCAGGCTAATTGTGTGCAGCATATCTGGAAAAATTGCCCTAAACACATAGAGGAATACATGTAGTTGCTGTGTTATGACCTCTACTGCTGGACCAATTTTCTTTAAAAGGACAGCTAACCATCTTCTCATTCACAGATCCATTTGACGTGAACTCAGGAGTAGAATGTGGGAATCTCAACAAACGTCAGTGGTAAGCATATATTGTTTCCAGGATGGTATTCAATAGATAAATACAGGATTATAAGAGTTGGTGATTTCCAAATACACATTGTTTTCTACAAATTTTGTGTTGGTGAATAACATATGATGAACATTTTCTTGTATATAACTTTTACATTTGAGACGAATATCAGCCTAACATAAAAAAAATTAGGCCAATATTGCTTGGGGGGGGGATCTATTTTCTTTCTAAAATAAAATCGATATTTCGTATGTCTGTTTCCTGGGGTAACTGTGTGTTTCTCTTTATTTAGTGACCATGAAGAGGATGATGATTCTTCTTCTGAGGAGGAAGCCGACACCTCAGAGGACAGCGAAGATGAAAATGAAAATGAAGCAGAAGATGAGGATGAGGATGGAAAAACACAGAGTAACTATCAGTTAAGAACAGCCTCATTACATCAAGATGAGGAAGAAGAGACTGAACCGAAGACGTCACAATAAACATTCAAACTATGGATTGTTTAATCACAATGCCTGGTATAACTTTTTTCCAAAATTCGTTTCATACAAAAACTATAGGTTACCTTGGGGTAATCAATTTTGTCCAGTTCAAGTATCCACAAAAATAAAATAAATATGACATTATAAATTGTGTTTTTCCTTAATGAAAAAAAAATACCTTGTGAATATTTACAACTTCTTTGAAATAAAGGTGACTATTTGGATTCTAGATTGTCATACTTTCAGTTCAAGAGGATTTACGTGAATGCATACTTCAGCAAAGACTTGTTAGATGTAGACTTGTAAGTACATGTCTTCACAATTTATTATTCACTCTAAAACATAAATTGTGTTTTGTTATGGGCAACGCTTACTACAGTGTTCGAATATGAACAACAGTAAAGAATAAGTTGAGTAGGTTGTAAATGTGGCGAGGGGGCGGACACAGCGGGACTCTCCTCTGCTGTCCTGCGGTAACATTGTTGTGGAACGACGTCACAGCTCGAAAATGAAGGCGCAGAGGCAGCCATTACTGGAGCTTCTCTAATTATTTTATTCCAAATAAATACTCGTGGAAAACTCCCATGGCAAGAGCTACAAGTCAGCTGGTGAGTGTTGCAACTCCAATGTGAATAACAGTTCGAAGCCGGTGCTGAAAATGCACAGTGTGGCGGCTGTTTGACAACAAATAGTTCCGTCGGGCCTTCATCTGAAGAGCGCTGTTAGCAACGTTAGCTCGCTAATGTTGGCTAACACAACACCTTATGTTTGCTATGTTCACCGGGGCTGTCCAACACCTTGCTTGGTTCATTCTTTAAGGTTATAGGAATTATCGAGTGTCAACGTAACATTAACGCATGTGTTGTGGTGTTTATTTACGATGCTTGACCATTTCCCCTTGGCCAGTAGCCTTATCTGTTGGCTGACGTTAGCTAAACATGTTCGCGCTTTCGTTCGATGCTAAGCTAACAAGCTAACGTTAGCTTCTTTGCGTCCCACCTTTTGGTTTGAGGAAAGCTTTTTAGGTTCACATTGTTTTGCTCTATTGTCATCTAGTTAACTCGTAAAATTCCACATTGGGGTCGGCACACTTACTTTGAAGGAGACTTACTGGTGTTATATGCAAACAGCATGTTGAGATGCAGATACTTTTCTGTTACCTGGCGTGCTAACGTTAGCTAATTGACGGGCTGTTAGCGTTAAGTTTATAACTCGCTGTCAGTGATGGCCGGCGTTATTTGACAAGGTAGCAGGAGCTAACATTAGCTAGCCAGCAGGCGTTAGTTAGCACAGAAAGTTCACACAGGCCTGAATAACAGGGATAGTTTAACGTTAACTTTAGCTGACATTTTCTGCCAAACCATCGTGGGGTTGACCTACAGAAATGGTTCGTAAGATAGTTTTAAGACCGACTGGCAACCACACAGTCAGTCCGGATAAGGCAGCTAAATGGCCACACCTTGGTTTTGAATGAGAAGAAGCTATGCCAAGTGAACTTACGGTAACTGAGTTGTACAATTAGTAAAGGTTGCACAAAGTTACAGTTGTTTGAGTTGAGGTAGTATCTGAAGTTAGGGCACCAACCAGTTTGACTGAAAGCACAACCTGTCCATGCTTTCTCTTCAATAATAACTTGGTGGGTTTAAGCTGCCATGTCAATTTGATGAGCAATATACAAATATGATTCCCTTTGTGCATTGGTGGACATAGATAAAGTGGTAACTTTAACATAGTTTCTACTACTTTTAACAACTTCTTTTCGGTACGACCACCATGCTCGGTAGCAGCTTCTTTAATGGTCGTCGGATGTCCATATCAATCCTGGACTTTGCTCCTCAAGTGGTCCCACTTGAAATAGCGTACTCAAGCTTTGATTTTGTACAGTGTGTTTACGGAACTACATTTATTTCTATAGGAGAATCAAGTACTTTATGTGATTCAGCTCATCCCTTCTAATGAAAATGGTTTCCTGTATGGTAATTGATTGTTTTGGAGTGTTTTATATTGTTTATATTGGACTGCCTCTAATTAGGAGTGTTTCATTAAATATGAGGCATGATGCATTATAACATTAATTGCTCTGTCATTCATAAATAGAAAAAATATTTATAAAGCTTTGTTAATCCCAGTTTAAATTACAGTTCTTAATGCTGAGCAGCAAATCCAACCCTTTTCCACACATGGATAGTCTTCATATAAAGTCATGTTGAAAGTTGTAGATACTCGATATCCACACATTTTTTGTTGTTGTTGTTTTTTGTACGGACTTGAGAACTGCTGACTGATATATTCTCAAATGTTCCCTCTCCTGTTTCAGTATGATGTTGTGCCCATTCAGCCCAGCGTTGTCATCTGTTCCTGCTCACATCCATCAATGGTAAGAAACCACCCTGACTCCTGCTCGCCACTTGCTATCCCAGGCGCAAGCAGTAGCCACTGTCCCAGCATGGAGGGCTCAGCCTCAGAGGCCCGTGCTCTAGGAGGGTCTGCCAGCAGCCAAGGCTCAGACCTCCGCACACAGCCGGCAGTCCAGGCCCCCCAACCACGCAAAAAGAAGCCAGAGGACTTCAGATTTGGCAAAATACTGGGAGAGGGCTCCTTCTCGACGGTATGTGACCTGCATTCCACTAAACTTTTGAATTAACTGGGTAGATGTTGCTACATGCTAGCATTCTTTTGATTAATGTGCTTGGATGAGTCATCCCCATCTCATTTCAAGTGAATCAACAAAACAGGCCTAGGAGCTACTGGATTTAATCCCAGGTCTGACAAGAGAGTAAGATGCCATGTTATGGTTTTTGTGTTCTTTTATCCTTAGGTTGTCCTGGCAAGAGAGCAGGTAACGGGGAAAGAATATGCAAGTAAGTATTGATGCACCTTTTTATTAAAAAATGAAAAGTTGCTATGTATCTCTACCATTTTTTTCCAACAATGTTCTTTTCTCTCCTGCAGTTAAGATTTTAGAGAAGCGCCATATTATGAAGGAGAACAAAGCCCAGTACGTGAAAAGAGAAAGGGATTTGATGTCAAATCTAGATCACCCGTTCTTCGTCAAGCTGTACTTCACATTTCAAGATGATGAGAAATTGTGTATCCTTTGACAAATTGCATTTGCCAAGGCATGTTCGAAAAACTTGCCTACTGTTGTTTTTGTCTTATAAAAACTAAACTTTTGATCTGTCCTTTAAATATTTAATTTCTTGTATACAAAGTTTTTCTTAACAAGCTTTTCCTAGATTTTGGTCTCAGCTATGCTAAGAATGGCGAGCTCCTGAAATACATTCGCAAAATAGGTTCATTTGATGAAACCTGTACTAGATTCTACTCAGCTGAAATAGTCAGTGCTCTAGAATACTTACACAATAAGGGGATAATACACAGGTAAGACAGTCAGTTTGTTAAATCCATGGCCATACATTTACTGCCCTATTTTGTTTTCATTATGTAATTTAAACACTGTTAAGCATTTGTTTTTTGCATGTTCTTTTCATTTCAGAGATCTGAAACCAGAAAATATTCTTCTGAGTGAAGAGATGCACATCCAGATAACAGATTTTGGGACAGCAAAACAGTTATCATCAGACAGTAAACAAGGTATTAGCACCCTGTTACCTGTACTTCTAGAGTATGACAATTATCCTTGTGGTATGACCTTAGCATTCACTCCCTTAAAGTACTATAAAGTATTCATGTTGTCTTAACATTTATTTACGTTGTTTTGCAGCAAGAGCAAACTCCTTTGTTGGAACAGCACAGTATGTGTCTCCAGAGCTGCTAACAGAAAAATCAGCCTGCAAGAGGTAATGAGGTTTGGCCATAATGAAGCCTGAACCTGCTAGTTATTGTTCTATTTTCATTTTTGTCATATAAACACGGCATCCCATTTGTAAATGTGTTCTCTCCTTTTCTAAATGTTTTGTTTTAGCTCTGATCTCTGGGCCTTGGGATGTATTATCTATCAGCTGGTGGCTGGTTTACCACCGTTCAGAGCTGGGTAAGTACGAGGATTATTCTTTCATTGCAGCTGAAATATTTATGCTTTAATATTAGCCCTTTTCAGATTACGTTTCCGCAACAGCGCCGTAACTAAGCTCAGCCGCCATTTTGTCTTTGTTAGGGATGTAAAGGGTGCGTTCGAATTGTCCCTCCTATCTCCTTTCACTATCCACTTTACCTTAACCCCGGAAGCATTTAAGTGGCGGCCATGATAAGAGGAGTTCGAATTCTCTAAAAGTTAAGGAAAGGTGGGTCAATGCTTCCTTTATAACCTTCTTTAGCATAGGATACACTGGACCATCCTTTACCAAAGGAGATGAGATTTGACGCCCCACAATTCCTTGCGGCCGCAACATTTATGTTCATTCATGCGGCCCGTCGCATTTAATGACATCGCCTAGTGGAAATGTGGAAACATCTTTCCTTAACCTCATGACGTTTTCGCGGGGTTAAGGTAAAGTGGATAGTGAAAGGAGATAGGAGGGACAATTCGAACGCACCCAAAGAATAATCGTGAGGCAAAATCGATTCAAAGTTGTCAAGGTTCACATCGGTACTCTGAAAAATGAATCGCAATTACATGGTGAGCGTCAGCAGCTGTAGAGCAGAGGCGGTTGGTTGTAACAAGCAGGCGTTACCATGGCAGCTGCAGAGGCCAAACCACACTGACAAGCAGGTTTGCAATCCTGCTCGCCCAAACGAGTTGAAGAGCCAAAGACATTATGAGGTGCATTGGTGTTTTCGTGAAAAATTAAAGGAATGTTTTTCCGTCATAATTTGTCTTCAGTCTCATATTGTAAAATAAATCGTGAGAGAATCGTATCGTGAGAAGAGTGACTCGTTACATCCCTGGTCTTTGTACATTCATATTGACTCTGCGACAGAGTAATATACACAACATGTAGAGAAACAACAGAAGCTACACACACACACACACACAGTGCTCGGCTTGTCCCATCTCACCCCTGTAACGCCTCTGTCATTTCCTCAAAAGACAGGACAGAGGGTGGATCACTTCATCCCACCATATGTACAGTAAAGGCGAGACGTCACAGTGGCCGTAGATATTGTGCTTTGAGCGAGCAGTCTGAAAAGGGCTAATGACTCATCTTATATCACAATTTTTCTGAATAAAGTTTACTGTTTAAGGTT